AAAAAAAAAAGGGCCAGACTTACTAGTCTAACAGAGACTAGAGAAACCCCAAGAGTATGGCTCCCGGTCACCCTTATAGCTCAGTAATGAAGTCACTCCTGAGGTTCACCCTTCAGCCAAAGATTAGACAGGCCCATAAAGCAAAAAGAGACTAAATGGGCACACCAGCCCAGGTGCAAGGATGAGAAGGCAGGAGGGAACAGGAAATCTGGTAATGGGGAACCCAAGGTGGCGAACGGGAGAGTGTTGACACATCATGGAGTTGGCAACTAATGTCACAAAATGTGTATTAATTGTTTAATGAGAAGCTAGTTTGCTCTGTAAACCTTCATCTAAAGTACAATAAAAAAAAGGTTAAGAAAAAACATATTTTAAAGACATTTATTGGTATGAGAAGATGCTCAGTAAAACTAAATGAACCCTGAAAATAAAACTATATGTAATACGGTTCTGATTTGAAAAACAAACAAACCTAGAAAGAAAATACTAAAAGGGAAAAAGACTGGAAAGAAATACAAAATGTTAACAATGACTGTCTCCAGTGGCAGGATTACAAGTGAGTAATTTTTCTCTTCTTTATATTTTGCGAGGAGTCCTAGTGGTGCAGTGGTTAAGCACTAGGCTGCTAACTGAAATGTTGGTGGTTTGAACCCATGAGCTGCTCTGCAGGACAAACATGCTACAGTCTGCTTCCATAAAGAGCCTTGGAAACCCTATGGGACAGTTCTGCTCTGTCCTATAGGCTCTCTATGCTGAAGAATTGATGGCAATAGGTTTGGTTTTGGTTGTTTACATTTTGCAATTTCTTTCAAGATTTATGACCGTGAAAAGGCCAAATGGAAACTAAAAGGTCAATTCCAAAGATCTCTGCTACACACTCAAAAGAGATGACAAAGAGACCCGGTCAAAAGTAATGCGTTCTCCCTGGTTGGAGAGTTGTCTCTGTGGCAGTCTGGTTCCCTATGCCACGGGACGCCTCTCCCCAAGTAAGATATCCTCCCTTGACAGCTCACAACAGGGCTTTTTGACTTCCTGTCTGTCCACAGGGTCACATTGTCCACAACTGGAAGGTGCGATGGTTCATCCTCCGGCAGAACACACTGCTATACTACAAGCTTGAGGGGGGCCGGAGAGTGACCCCTCCCAAGGGCCACATCCTCCTGGATGGCTGTACCATCACCTGCCCCTGCCTGGAGTATGAAAACCGGCCTGTAAGTAAGGCCCCTGTTTCCCAGCTCCTCCCTGCCCTAGACCCTTCCTACTTCTGGCCTCTTTTGTGAAAGGCAGTGTGGGTAATGGGAAGAGCTCAGAGTTATAACTTGAAAACCTGGATCCAAATCCTGGCTCCACCACGAACCAGGTATGTGACCTTGGGCAAGTGGTTGAACCCCTCTGAGCCTTAGTTCCTCATGCATAAAATGGTATAAAATAATTATACCTATCTCACAGAGTTGTGATGAGGATCATTAGGGTAGTGGTTCGTTAAAACACTCTGTAGATGAGGAGGCTATGAGGATAGCAACAAATGTAATAATTGCTGTCTTGGGATTTGGCATGATGACTTTCACCCCCTGAGGTGTGTGAGTTCCAGAAATCAGGGGTAGCTTCAAGCTACCATCAGAAAAGTATCTGAATCAATCAATCACTTGTCGAGGGCCCATTATGTGCCAAGAAATTTGCTAGGCATGGAGGAGTCAAAGATGACAATGGTAAGACCGTTTCTTCATGGAGCTAATAATCTTGTGAAGAAAGCAAGTGGTTGACTGAAAAACAATGACAGTTCCAAATGGCAGTAGGAACATTATTAGCTGCAGAGAACACTGTATTCCTGAAGTGGAGGAGGATGTCATTAGTGGCTGGCTGGGCCAGGTCTGGCTTTGAGAAGAAGAAAGATTTGGGTAAGGATCTGAGGACGGAGCAGGCATTCCCAGCTGGTGAAACATCTTGAGTATAAGTGAGGAGAGGCAAGTCTGTGGAGAGAGATGAGGGTAGGGTGACTTCTGGGGATAAGAGCCTCCAGTGGGGCCAAAGGGCAGTGTTCCCTAAGGGAGAAGTGGGAAATTAATGGGGAGTGAGCCATTGAAGGGTTTCGAGTGAGAGAATGGGCTGATGAAAACTCCCTCAGGAAGGCTGACAGAGGAACTGAGGCTTAGTTCCTAATAAGACTACTGGTCCATGAAGAAAAGGTCTTGCCATTTTGTGGGCTGCACAGCTTCCTAGATTCGGTATGGCCGCTTGACTTTTGCTTCCCAGCATCCTCTCGCCTGCTCTGTCTCCAGAGTGCTTGTCTGTCTGGCTGTCTCTTCCCACAGCTGCTCATTAAGCTGAAGACTCGAACATCCACGGAGTACTTCCTGGAGGCCTGTTCTCGAGAGGAGAGGGATGCCTGGGCCTTTGAGATAACAGGGGCTATTCATGCTGGGCAGCCAGGGAAGGTCCAGCAACTCCACATACTGAAAAACTCCTTCAAGCTTCCCCCTCACATCAGCCTACAGTGAGTGCCCCGCCCACTTCCACCCTTCCCACTACCTCACTTTGCTGCAGCCTCTTCTCTCTGTGGGGAGGGACAGGCTCTTCTTGGGGTCCCTGTTGGAGCTGCACAGGCTTCACAGGCACCCCCATTGTGCTTCAGGGTCTTCAGCTGTAACCCATTTATATTGTTTTCTCTGCCTGGGAATGGCCTTACCCACCCACCCATTCCTATGCAACCTCTCAGGGTCTCTGCTACCTGTACCCACCTCAGTGATGACTTAAGACCGCCCATCAGTTTCAGCCACAGTGCTCAGGGCTGTGCCACAGCTCCCAGGAATCCTCACCAACCGAGTCATTGGTCTTGTTTGCAGCCTGGTGCAAGAATGATGTGTTCTGGTTGCCATTTCCTTCTTGCTGTGGGGGCTGCTTCATTCATTCATCAAAGAAGCACTTACTGAGTGCCTACTACATGCCATGCACTGTGCTAGATGCTCAGGAGATGCAATAGGAATAAACAAGGTCTCATCTCAAGGGCCTTCCAGCCTAAGCACATAAATACCTGTTGTCATTGAGTCGATTCCGACTCATAGCGACCCTATGAGCAGCTGGTAGATTTGAACAGCTGACCTTTTGCTGCACTACCAGGGCTCCAAGCACATAAATAGGAAATGAGAAAAGATTTTCTGTTGGCGGCAATCATTGTTCCATAGAACAGAAGGAAGGCAGGTCAGTAGTGGAGGTGATACCGTAAAGTGGAAATGGATGGAAGGAGTTCACATTAACAGCCCATCTGCAGAAAATACTCCCTAACCACTCAGGCAGCAGACTGTGATACCCATCAAAGACATGGTATAAGGCTCACCAAAAACTCCCAAGGAGGCACTGGAATTTTGACTGTGCACTCTCTGTGGGCCTAGGGCCCTGCTAAACCACAGTGAGCATGGGGAGGATCAGCAAATAGAGTGGGGAGGTGGGTGGCATCAGGTGGTGGATAACTTTGAGAATTCGCTGGAGGAGTTTAGACTCACTGCAGTAGATCACAGAGAAGCATTGTGGGTTCCCACACAGCTTAATTTTAAGCTAAATGTCTTAGCTCTTTAGTCTTATTACAGAAGTAATACCTGTTTAGTATAGAAATATTAGAATATTTAGATGAGCAAGAAAGAGAAAAGAAATCTCCTAAATCTTACCTCTCAAATTCTGATGTGTAACTAAATGCACCTCTTTCTTTGTGGTGTGTGTCACACAATTTGCCACTTGCTTTATCCCCCTTAGTGGTGACTCTTGGACCCTCCCTCATGCCTGTCAGTGTGGCAAGGGTCCCCTCCCCTTTCCCTCCTTCTGTGTAGTCTTATTGTGGATAAGATGCACGACAGCAGCAGCGGGATCCGGCCAAGCCCCAACATGGAGCAGGGAAGCACTTACAAAAAGACCTTCATAGGTGAGCCTGCTCCTCTCAGGGTGGGGGCGGGGCAGTGAACCCAGGGACATGGGACTCAGCTCTGGGACTCAGCCACGGGCTTGACCTGCCTGTGTCGGCGCCAGAGCTGCCTGCTGGTCAACTGACTGATGACATTGGCTTTGGCCACAGCTCTGGGCAGCAGGTGTGGCCTTCAGGCTGCTTTTGGGTAGAACCTAGAGGCTGCCTATGAGGTCAAGGTCATTGAGGTCACGACCAAGCACCCCGAGGAGGCCAGTCTGTAGCCTGTTGTCTGACCGGCGCTGCCCGTGCCCTGACGCAGGCTCCTCCCTGGTGGACTGGCTCATCTCCAACAGCTTCGCAGTGAACCGTCTGGAGGCGGTAACCCTGGCCTCCATGCTCATGGAGGAGAACTTCATCAGGCCAGTAGGCATCCGAAGCATGGGAGCCATTCGCTCTGGGGATCTGGCCGAGCAGTTCTTGGATGACTCCACGGCCCTGTACACTTTTGTAAGTTAAGGAGGGGATTCCTCCCACCACCACGGCAGTGGGGGGAAGAGGCAACACAGTGGGAGCTCAGGGCCCACCATTGTGGATGAGAGGCTGTCTTAGTTATCTAGTGCTGCTATAACAGAAATACCACAGGTGGGTGGCTTTAACAAATAGAAATTTATTTTCTCACAGTTTAGGAGGCTAGAAGTTTAAATTCAGGGTACTGGCTCTAGGTGAAGGCTTTCTCTCTGTTATCTCTGAAGGAAGGTCCTTGTCTCTTTTCAGCTACTGTTTCCTGGTTCCTTGGAGATCTCCATGTGGCTCGGCACCTATCTTCCCTCATCTCTGCTTTCTTTCTATGCCTAATCTGCTCTTTTTATATCTCAAAGGTGATTGGCTTAAAACATACTCTACCTGATATGGCCTTTTAACATAACAAAGAAAACCCATTTCCAACTGGGATTATAACCACAGGTATAGGGATAAGGATTTACAACACAATTTTTGGGGGGACACAATTCAATCCATAACAGAGGCCTAGGGGTTGGTGCACAGTGCCACCCTGAGGTGGAATGGGGTGTCTGTATTGAGTGATTTCCTTTCCCCTGCAGTGGCCCCGGATCGTGGGCCTGGGTCTTCTGTAACAGAGTACTTTCTCCTCCTTCCCACTAGGCTGAGAGCTATAAGAAGAAGATAAACCCCAAGGAAGAAATCAGCCTCAGCACTGTGGAGTTAAGTGGCACAGTGGTAAAACAAGGCTATCTGGCCAAGCAGGTATGGCTGCCCTGTGAGCAGGGAGGCAGTGGGGTAGGGGGATGCTGGAGGGACGCCATAGGGAGGGAAAGGCTGCAGCTTCCTAGAGTGCACAGATTACCAGCCAGCAGGATCTGCTAAGGCAGGAGCCCAGCACCAGCCACAGGGAGCAAGCCGAGAACACGCGTGTGCACGCATCCACATCACATGCGTACCAGCCACCAGGACTGTCCAGGAAGATATACATGCTAGCAGTGATCACAACATTAGCGACAACTTCTACAGCATTGCCCAGTTTCAAATATTTGTCTTGAACGGTATTGTCAACTGGTTTGATGTTTCCATCTGCTGGCGTTCTACTCCCTGAGGCTTCCTGGTGTCTCTGCCTTCTTTGTGGAACTCTGAACACCACCTTGACACACTTTCTGAAATGAACTAGAAATAATTATTTTCTCCATTTATTTCAGTAGATTGAAGATCATATTCTGCAGTGTAAGCTCAATGCTTAAAAACTGACAAGGGCCACCCCTCCCAGGCCTCACTGGGGAGAGCAGCGTGTTGGGTGGGAGGCACATCTTGTCACAGTCACACCTGCAGCATTTGCACATGTGCCTAAGGTGGCGCAAGCGGTTTATGGCTGCTAACCCAAGGTTGGTGGTTTGAACCACTTAGCAGCACTGCAAAAGAAAGGCCTGGCAAACTGCATCCTTAAGGATTGCAGCCAAGAAAACCCTATGGAGCAGTCTACTCTGTAACACATGAGGTCACCATGAGTGGGGGGTCGACTCAATGGCAGCTAACAACGACATGAGCACCGTCACCGCGTCCTGGCACGTGAATGTGCAGGCGGACCTTTTGCACACCCTTGTGTTTGTGCATGCATTATGTGCTGTGTGAATGTGTGCGTCTGTACAACAGATATGGACACAGCTCAGCGCCCTTCCCATTGTTACTCTGAGCACGTGCTTAGCTGTCACCTGCTTCTTGATATCAGGATCCCCATCTGCTCTTAGATTAGTTACCGTCTGTGCAGCTGCCTGTCTATCCCCAGGGTCCTGCTTCTTCTGGCCTGACAGGAATCCTAATGAAGGGGCAGTGAGGTAACTGGGAAGAGTATGAGGAGGCCACGGGAGACTAAGGGTGTTCCAGATTGAAGGGCTAATGAAGGTTTGTGACCTAGGGAGTGAAGCCACTCGCACAAACACACACACACACACACACACACACACACACACACACACGTTAATATCTTCTTAGACCTTTAGATTTTAATATACAATGTTGGTTGTTGTCACTCTTTACCAGACGGGCAATGTTAAGTTGGTTTTATTGTATGTGTGTGCACATATATAAGTGTGCCCGTAGGTGTGTTTTTGGATTAAGTTAACCCTTATAAGGCTGGTGCCCTTGGGGTCAAGTTTGCATGTGAACTGCCAGTCTAGCTGACACCTCCTGCCTCCTGTCCTCCTTTATGCCCTGAGCTGAGTCTGGGAAATGCTCCCCCGACCCCTTTCCTTCAGTGCTGACTCCCCTGGCTCCTAAATGCTCACTAAATGTGACTGTGTTTGTGCTCACATGTCCCTGAGCAGGGGATGCTGTCAGAGCAGTCTGTGCCATGCGATCACATTCCTCTGGTTAAGATGAAAGAGCCCTGGTTGCCCAGTGGTTAAACACTGGGCTGCTAACCAAAAGGTCAGCAGGTTGAACTCACCAGCCACTCCACGGAGAAAAACGTGGCAGTCTGGTTCCGTAAAGATTACAGCCTTGGAAACACTGTGAGGCAGTTCTACTCTGTCCTGTAGGCCCACTATGAGTCAGAATCAACTTGATGGCACGCAACAACAGCAGCTTTAGGATGTAGTCCTGCTGGAGCAGCCTGGCTTGTTAGAGGTTTGGCATTAGATGCATGGATGCGAGAGAGGAAGGGACTTCAGGCTGTCGCCAATGAGCCCTGAACCCTTTCTTTGCTTCAGGGGCACAAGAGAAAAAACTGGAAGGTTCGGCGTTTTGTTCTGAGGAAGGACCCAGCTTTCCTGCATTACTACGACCCTTCCAAGGTGAGTGTGCTGCCGCATGTTGCCTAGGTACCTGTGTTGTGATGCTTTCAGACACTTCTCTCCCTACGCAGCAAGCAGCTACTTGTGCCGCTTTCCTTTCTCTCAGCATCTGCTGTAACTCCCCTGCACTATGCTTTTTCTCCTGCAATCCAAGCTACTCAGAACAAGATCACTCTTTTCTTTCATCACATAGTTGCCTCCTCAGTGGTTTCTCTATACCCCCTTCTCTACTTCCTATGGTAGGGGATCTGCATTATTTTGAGAAGAGAAGCATCTTTTAGCTTCTCCAAAGAGTGAGGTGGGCTGATAACGAGACTTCTAGCTGGTGCTTCCCAGCCTCTTCACCCGTTTCTGTCCAACCAAAACCAAAAACCAAACCTGTTGCCGTTGAGTCAATTCCAACTCATAAATCTCAGGGGCCTCCCTCCTTCACTCACATTAATGCTTCAGTAGTAAAGGAGTGAGCTTTGGGAGCTGAGTAGAACTGCCCCATAGGGTTTCCAAGGAGCGGCTGGTAGATTTGAACTGCTGACCTTTTGGTTAGCAGCCAAGATCTTAACCAAAGATCCCATTAATTCTGCCCCCTCAACATTTTGTCCTCACCTTTGTTTTGAAAGGTTTCTTTTACCATATAATATTTAAGCTAGAACTTATTTTCTTGGTTAAAAAAAAAACAAAAACAACCAACGAATTGCTATTCCGAGTTTCAGAGAATAAGTATCACCACATGCTGAGTTGATCTAATTCCAGTCAAAAATTCAGAAAAATGCCCTTCTAGTCAGGCTTTTCAGACTTGTCTTGGTAGATATATGATTTTCCTTAGTTTTTTTGAAATAGTGAAAGTAGTGTACAATCCTCCTTTCTGGCTGCAGCCAGGACTCAGCACCTGGGTGGGGGAAGGATTGTGAAGGAGCACAGCTGGTGGCCATTTGAGCCCCACCCAACCCTGTCAGACCACCAGGAGGGCTGAGGGCCTGGAGGGGTGTGGCAGGACAGGCTGCCTGAGGGGCAGCCACCTGGGCCTCTACAAAGCGCTGGCTGACCTCTGCCTGGGTTGGGTTGTGGTGGCCTGGCTGAAGGATAGAGTTCAAACGCCTTTGTGGCCACCTTAAGCCCTTTTAGAAATAAGGCAAATAAATAAGCTCTTTAGCTTTGCTTTTAATTCTCGACACAGTCCGGCCCAACCTACTTTCTTTGTGGGCTTGATGACTCTACTGCCTCAGCCTGGTCTCTGTCCTGAAGACCTCCTGCGCTTGGTTTGCTCCCTGGCTTTGCCCTCACTCTTTCTCTCGCTTGACCTGTGAGCCCTACCCCTGCCCTCAGGATCTGCTCACCTCTCAAGGCCCAGTTCAAGTCCCAGTTCCTCTGCTGAGGCCGCCCTTGAACCCTCCAGGCTGTGGTGGATGTCTTCCCCGACTGTTCCGTAACTGCACTGTGTTCTGCCCTACCTAGTGCTGGGAGCCCTGGTGGTGCAGCGGTTAAGTGCTCACCTGCTAACTGAAAGATAAGTGGTTCACACCCACCAGCTGCTCCTCGGGAGAAAGATGTGGCAGTTTGCTCCCGTAAGGATTACAGCCCAGGGAACACTATGCGGGAGTTCTACTCTGTCCTATAGGGTCGCAATGAGTTGGAATCGACTCATCGACACACACAGCAGCAGCAGCATGCCCACTATGCTGCATGAAGATGACTGATTAATAGAAGGGCTCCTGCAGCTTTCAGCACTGTTTGACACCTGGTGTGTAAAATTGCTCTGAGTCACCCCAGAGATAATATACACCAGAATTTTGTTTCAGAGATGTATAAACAGTGTCCAGCATACAGGAATGCCTATCAGTTTCACAGAAATGATAAGTACAGACATGTCTTTTTTCTGCCTGGTGGGTGAGGTGCACCCAAGGTTGAGGACTCCGGTGCGTGCTTCTCCTGATAGTGCTGGACTAGAGGCTCTTTTGCCCCATCTTCAGGAGTGAAAAGCAGATCGGTTTCAAGCCTGTCAGACTTGGTAACAGCGGCATTGGTGAGCCCTGCTGCAGCTGATTGTGAAATAAAGAACTGAACTTCCTTACTGGTACATATAACTTGGCCAAGTGAAGTCTGAGTTCAGCCTCATATTCAATTGCCAATGACTTACAGCTGACTTCTTCAGCTGGCCTCACTGAGGGTGGTTAGAGGGGAGAGCGCAACTCTTTCCTTTTGTGTATTCACAAAATTCCTAATTAGGTGTCCACTCCTCTGCAGGAAGAGAATAGACCAGTTGGTGGGTTTTCTCTTCGTGGTTCCCTTGTGTCTGCTCTGGAGGATAATGGCGTTCCCACTGGTAAGGTGCAGCTTCCGCCCTGGCCTGAAGATCTCAGGGGCCTCCATCCTTCACTCTCATTAATGCTCCAGTAGTAAAGGACTGAGCTTTGGGAGCTGAGTAGGACTTGCTCAGAAAGGCAATGAGTGGTGTGAGTTCTGAAACCAATTTCAGAATTAGAGAAGAAGACATGTCTTTAATATTCTTTCCCCTCAGTTTCTGTACTTGCTGGTCTATAAGCTTCCACCTAAGAACAATAGCTAAGATTTACACAGTGCTTTAGGGTTTACAACACACTTTAATACCTATTATCTCACCTAATTTCACAAGAGCCAGCTAAGGTAGAGATGGTATTATCCCCATTTTATGGATGTGGAAATTGAGATTCGAGGAAGTTAAACAATTTGAAGTCAAACCTGATGGCTTCCTGCCTCCATGTTGGCACAATTTTGCCCCACTTTGTATAGGAGATATCAGGATCTTCACGTGTTGAAAACATGACACTCATGTCTACTGCTTTTAATGTAAACATATTGGACTCTTTCATGCGAATGGATGATTGTAGATCTATATGGCTGGCATGGGGCAGGCAAGAGGGCTTCAAGGACTATCCAGACACACCATTGGTGGGCCTTAAGGCTCAGGTGAGGGAGGGGGAATGGCAGGGAGGAAAAAAGGAAAGCATGCATCTGGTGGGGATTCCCTAACCATATAATTTGTATTAAAGAAATACTTCACTATGCATGCACTTGCATGTGTGTGTGCACGCGTGTGAAGCTAAAAGCAGACATGAATATTCACTCACTGATTTTTTTCTGCCTAGGAGTTAAAGGGAATGTTCAGGGAAATCTCTTCAAAGTGATTACTAAGGATGACACACACTATTACATTCAGGCCAGCAGCAAGGCTGAGCGAGCTGAGTGGATCGAAGCTATCAAACAGCTAACGTGAACTTGGCTAGAGTCTGAGGGAACAGGACCTGGATGCCTCCCTGCTAGCAGAGGATACATACAGGGTTTCCTGGAGAATGGGAGTGTGTTAAGACTTCTGACAAGGAGTTTAACAAGCAGTTAACTTCTTTGTACATTTTGTACCACTTTGGAGGGAGACTGGTGAGTGCCTCAGTTACAAACAGCAGTGGTGCTATTTCCTTCTGCATCTTCATGTTTATCAACCTGGAAAGGCTAGAACAGCCCCTGGCATTAGCATCTTGACCTGTGCCAATCACCACAGGTAGCCCTTTCCTTGGGCACCAAAGTAAGTTCCCCTTGTTGTAACACTGACACTGGACATACTGCAACACTGACTATAATTCTAGTCTCAAGGCAGCCGGCTCTCTGAAATGACATCTCTAACTTTCTCTGGAATTCATAAAAATAATAAAAAGTAACATTTGTTTCTGGCTACTGTTGCAATTCCTTTAAAAGTTTTATAGCGTTCAAAGGTCTCTCATGCTTGAGGTTATATGGATTGTTATGCAAGCTGATTATGCAAACATCAAATGACTGCTATCACCAAGACACACTTCATTTAAAAATGGGCGTGGTGGCAAAACTTTAGTTGAACATTTATAGTTTTGCTTTGAAAATAAGCCTGCGCAAGTACTATCCATTGTACTATCCATTGCAGAAGTCACAGAGTAGGTTGGAGCGACTAGTTACACACACACACACACACACACACACACACGCAAAGTTAGTTTTCAATGAAAAATGGACGTTCAAAAAGATGCAGAGGAGCAGAGCTGCTAAATTTAGATGAAGGGACAGAGAAGGATGTAAATGGGAAGGAATTAAATCAAGGTAGGAAATTTTGGTTTTAAAATGAACATTAACTGAGAAAACAGGTACCAAGAAATTTCACCCGTTGGGAGGTTAATCTGAAGTAGTGAAAAGTCTGTATCATACAGTATTTTTAAAGAACATTTTTATTACTTTCAATTTTATACAGTAATCTGGCACAAACTATTGCCAGCATTCTCGTCAGGTACAAGTGCTCAGACTTGCTTTACTGAAAAGACTAGATATGTAACTTACATTTAAGGGGAGTTGATACTTCTAAAGTGCTCAAATAAAAGTTTGTCTTCTTAAATAGCTTGAACTTTCTCCTTTTAATATTGTTTAGAATACCTGACTTGAATGATCAGGAATTCCAAGCTAATGAGGTTTTACTTTATTCCTTACATTGTAAGTTTAAGAGACCTCGCCTTTTTAAAGCACCATTTTCCATTTGGCACTTTACCAAGGTCTAATGCCCCTGGAATTAGTTTTATTGCTTTTTGAATATCAACAGGTGTTTATCTGAATTAAAAAACTACATTTGGTTTGATGGCTTCCTGCCTTCACGTTGGCACAACTGTGCCCCACTTTGCATAGGAGGTTATCAGGATCTTCACGTGCTGAAGACACTCATCTTGAGACAAATTAGTGAACATGTCTTAAGACAGTGGCACTTGAATTTTTAAAAACCCCTAAATTATTTTTGGTATAAAAGTAGCCAGGTCAAGAATGCTTGGGAGTACAACTGAGTTGTGTAACTGTACTGCTTGGCACAATGCAATGCCTGTCTCTGACAGCTCCCACTGTTTGCCTTATTTTGCTATAAAACTGGTATGAACAATGGTTTAAATGTTCCAATCTTCTCTTGGCCATTTTTGATTTTCAATTATTTATGCATAAACAAAACCCAAACTATAGCAAATTTTCAGTTTTAAGTTGATAACCATTTGACCTCTATATGAAGAGCAGAGTGGGGAGTAGATGAAACTGTCAGCATTTTTAATGAAAAGGCTTTTGGGGGAGAGATCCAAAATTTGGGTAAGCTATTCAATTTTCTTTATCTGTCTTCTTTCCTCAAGTTATCCTCATGTTTGAGAGAGAGATTTTTAGGTCAGCAGGGTGTATGCATACTTTAGTTTGTTCTTTCATGGAATCAGTGAGGTACTGATCTTTCCCTGGATAAAAAATGTGCAAAATTTTTATGGAACTGAGCAAAAGGCTTGTATAAAATCATTCACCATGGAGGCCACCAGTATTCCCAACAGTCATGGCTTCTGGAGTATAAAAACAATTCTGCTGCCTGTAGCAAACATTTAAGGGGCACCTGTTACATTTAGGTAACACTTTTGACCTTTATGAACTTGTTTTTTGATGCTTCAGGAAGACAGAGTGAAAATTACGTGCCAAGATAAACATCTTGATTACATCCAAATGCTCCTCTAAATCCCCAATGTGGCATGCTAGCTAGCAATCATGGCTCACCCTTGGAAATAAGCCATCTGAAGTCAGACTTCTGGATGCTGCTATAGGCTGCTAAATTAAAGAAAGGGACAAACCTTCACAAATGCCACAAACTGTCGTCCTTACACACTCTTCTTATATTTTCCAGTCCCTTTAACATTAAGCCTAGTTCTGGATTTACTAGGGCAGGTTAGGTTTAATCTTCTAGGTATGTAAACAGCTATTCCAAGGGATAACTAATAAAATTAAATATATCTGGTACACCTCATTATATGAATGAAGACAAGACCCAAGTAACTCAAGATTTCCTCCATTCTGACTACCATAGTTATAACTTCAAACAATGTGTTATCTGTAAAACTTATTTTATACATACACCTTTAAAATAATGAGCTCTTAAAGATAAAAACCTGTAGAAAAACTGCAGCTGTGTTCGAGCAGATGCCTGTTTTGTTATAAAGAGGGCTGAAGCTCCAGGTGGCATCTACTGGATATTTTAGTGGGGAAAAAATCAAAAGCCGGGTGATGAGACTCAAAATAACTAAATCAAAGCAGCAGCATCTCTCTCTAGCTCCTTTTAAACATACTTTACCACCTTGTAGTACAAGCAGCTTAAGTATACCGACAAGAACCACTATGATAAATTCTCCCTCTACCACATGTTGTCATTGGTCTCAAATAGGTAAAAGGCACACAACCTATGTAATTCTGTAATTGCATTTTAACAATTTTTCCCTGTAACGGTCAGCTTTCACTGCTGTTAAAATTTTCTCTAAAATCTCCTTTTGAAAGGATCTGCTACATATATCCTTTCTAGCAGATACTTTTTTTTTTAATTCCAGAATTAATCCCTAATTGTAAGATGTTCCGAAGGCATATAAAATGCTAGCTGTTCATCTGCCCTTATGTTTCTACATCAAGACTAAAATGAGTAGAATTAAGGTCTTAGTATTCAGAATGCTTTTAACTAGTGACAAGAAGGAAGAAGCCTATAGTTAAATATCCCAAAAATTTATTTAATGTTTGCTTGAATACATTTTATAGAAAGACTGGGACTGTTTGCTTTGAGTGCCCTTGGTAAATCTCATGGAGGTACTGAACTACAGAGGAGTGCCAATCTGGAGACATCAGAGAAGGAAATCACAGGCCCAATTTTATGACTGTTCTTAGCTTAAAGATTTTAGTCTTTAGTGAAATGAGGCCACTCCCTTAAAAAAATGCTCGATGTGCTGGAGCTACTGTGTGAAAACAGCTGACATTTAGGAGGGCATTTCACGTTCTGGTCTGTTGGAACATTTAAATACTTGGAAATAAAAAATATTCAGCTTTAAAGTTTTCAATACTGGAAAACTTTCAAGTCTAGGGTTTATGCAGTCCAGCCAGGAAGGGCTGCTTTGTGTTCCTTAAATTGGACTTGGTTTCCCACAGTTAATCTTCAGCTTTGGCTTCCATTTCTTCTGCATCATCATCTCCATCCACTTCTGCATTTTCTCTCTCAAGCCTCTCCAGCTGCCTCGCAAGCTCAGTCTCATCTGTATCTGTGACCACTTTGGGCTGTGGAAGCAGAGGCATAATTTCAAAGTGAAGTAAAATAGGACACAAATTCAATTTCACTGTCTAGTATTTTAACTCAAGGAAACACTTTCCTTCCTAACAACTCTGCCATATTTGTTCATTTCTGAGTGCTGACATACCACTAGTAACTTCCAGGAGATAAATAATGAAAGAAATTTCCAAAAATAAGACAATATAGCAAAATATGTGCATGTGTATTAAAATGGAATACATTTTCTGTCATCTTTACAAGCTCAAACTAAAAACATATGAAAATAACCTCAGTGGCTACATATCTTTAAAGCCAGCCTACAAATAATAGATATCTTGTTTAACAAACAAAAAGATGCGTATCTAGGATCAAAATAAATTACTACTCTTTTCCACAAAGGGAATCATTTTACACACACACACACACAGATATACACATGCACACACACACACACGAGAGGAAATTAGGTTTCTTTCCTATTGAGATGAGGAAAAGCCAAGACTATTCTTGTTTCTAATTCTGAGGTCAAATTTTATGCATTCCACATTCAAATTCTGATACGAATTAGTTCTTTTTATTGTCTATATTTTAATGGGAGAAAAACCTAACACCACTGTGCTGTGATGAATTACTTGGTATGGCCTTTCTTGCCAAGGTCTTGTGACTCCCACCCAGTTTGACTGGGTAGGCCTGTGCAAATAAGATAACTGTGGCCCACCAAGGGGGCTGGTCAGTTTTGCCTTAAAAGAGAGTCAATTCCAGAGCAGCAAAAAAGCCCACCACCACCACCAAGGAAGGAGAGACCAGCAGGGGAGACCAGGCAGCAGGAGATGGTGTGGTAGGCTACCCTGCCCACAGAGAGAGAAAGCTGAGTGCCTTTGGGCAGAGGCCTAGGGCTGAGAAGCTGTCCTGATGGAAGAACTGTATCTCTTGAGTGTTCCTGAGCCTGAATTGTAACTGTTACTTCCCTAATAAACCCCATAATAGTGAGTGTGGTCCGTGAGTTCTTTGTGGCCATTGCAAATCCAGCAGAGAAGTAAAGAGTGCTGCTGGAGGGACGGTTGATGTTAGAATTGGTAAAGATGGTGGAGAGAGAAGACATGTCTGACCTCCACCTCACGGGAATCAGCCTTGGGCTGTTGATCTTGACTCTCCTTTCCCCTTGTGAAGTTAGAGGAGGTCAGACACTTCCCCTACAGTCTTTACAACCACCAATGACTATAGTCCTGAATAGCCATCCCATGATATATATGGCAGTCCAGTACTAATGGCTCTTAATTACCTATAAAAAGCTCTCTGAACTAATGATTATTTTATGCTTAGCAGAGTTATAATCCTAACTGTATCTGATGATTTAAAAAGCAGTGGTTAGGTATTTTAGGATGCAAATCATTTAGATGATTTACATTTCTTAAAAAACTTAAGAACAAGACAAAAAAAGAAGGTATTGATCTCACCTCCATTTGAACATTGAAGACACCTCTCTTTTCTTCAATCTTTTCTTTGATAACAGCCATAGCTTGGTTGAGGACAGAGAGGCCCTCTGTTCTTTCTAAGGTGGTTGTAGTCATCACATACCGAGGAGGAGCTATTAGATTAATCTAAGGGAGAAAGACAAAATTCAATTATGAATGTACCTATTCAACATGCAACTATTGAACTGTTTTGTTAATATGCTGGATTAACATACCATCCCAAAACTAATCTCCAAATTCTGTAGCTCAGCAATTTGGAAAAGTTTGTAAATGCAGCAAAAATTAATTATAGTGATCTAGTCCAGTAGTGTAGAGTCCACTGTAATACTAAACATAAAGAATTGTGACTTCTTGGTGTCCTGTGGTGGCTAAACTAACTACAGTCATCTAAACTAATGGAAGAGAGAGATGCTGAACAACGACCATCCCACTTATTTATCACTGACAAAACATTCACACTAAACCTCTTAAAAGCTGTGTCTGGAGTACTATAAGCATTTCAAGGTGCTAGGAACATTTTGGGCACAGCAACTTTTTATTGTATAGGAAGTTTAAAATGATAGCCCTCTGGTACTAAACACCAACAGGAATCTCCATCCACTGTGACAGCAGCAATAGCACCACCCTCGCCCAAAAAAGTGTACACTTAATTTCAAACATCTCCTAGAAATAACACCAAGAACTACTGCTCCATGTTAAGAGCAAAACATACTCTTGCTATGAAACATGAACATTTAAAAAAAAAAAAAATCAAAACAAGGTTCTGATTTGGTTTGGGTGGATGCTTCAGCAGGAAAGTAGAAAACTGACTACTGACCTTGATGGGCATGGTTTCTGTGGAACAATTCAAACCTGCTCTCAGGGCTTCTTTTACGGCATCAATGCCTTCATAACCATAACAAGCCACTTCAATATCTAAAATTAAAAATATTTAAAAGCTGATACCAAAAATTATAAAAATATCTCAAGGTTTAAAATAAATCAGAGATGTGGCAGATACACTAGTATTCAAATATTTATGAATGCTTTCATCACCCTTTCAATTAGAAATCAATCTTAGCTATTAACTTTCACAATTAAAAAAAACCTTAATTATGAAAACTTTCACAATTAGGAAAAAAAACCTGTATCTTCTCATCCACATCAAGCCACCTAAAAGATGAAGCTATAAAAGACAGAAATTTAACAGACAGCTTAAATTCTGGCTATGAAATCCAGGAAAGAGACTGAGTTTAGATCCCGACTCACAGTGACCCTATATGACAGAGTGGAATTGTCCCATAGGGTATCCTAGGCTGTAATCTTTATGGGAGCAGATCACCAGGTCTTTTCTCCTGCGAAGCCGCTTGTGGGTTTGAACTGCCGACCTTTTGGTTAGACTGCTTGGGTTCAAATCCTGATTCCAACCTTTCTGTGCCTCAGTTCCTTATTTGTAAGATGGAGATAGGAGTAGTGTGGTGAAGACTGAATGAAACAGTAACCAAAATGGTTCAGAATAGTCACTGACAATCTATTCCATTGACAAATATGCATACCCCTTAACCCAGCAATTCTACTTGTAGGAATTTATCTTAGAGAACACTGTAATGGTAGGTATATACATATAAGGCTGTTAATTTGCAGTGTTTTTGTAACAGTAGGAAAAAAGCTGCAACAACCTAAATGTTTCTCAAGAGGGGACTGCTTTATAGTAGGGTTTATCTGTTCTATGGAATACCACCCAGCCACTAAAAAGACTGAGAAAGATTCCCTATATTCTGCATGGGAGGATACTCAGTAGTAGGAATTGTGGAAAAAGCTAGTTGGAGAAAATTCTGCATGGTATGATCTCATCTTTGTAAAAAACAACAACAACAAAATTATATGTATATTCACACCCAGGTATAGTATAAAAGAAAAATGTTTGAAAGAACATATTCCAAACTATTAATAATAGTTAATCCAGAGACATGAGAGAATATTGCTATACTGTTAGCAATTTTTTAAAGTATGCACTAAAACAAAACATTAAACCCCTTTCTGAAAAAGGGCTAACAAAGTTAGTTGAGCTTATACGACTGCTGTTAACTTGTGTTAACATATACATTTTAAGATGATTCAGTAAAAGCAAAATAATTTAATTTCTTAAACTTTTCTTGTTAGGAAAAATAAACAGTTTACAGATGTTGCTGCAGTAGTGTATTCTCTGGTAAGGTTCATTATTTTAAAAGTTTTTTTTGGTACATACAAAATATTTTAAAAAATCATTAATATTTACCTGCTCGAATTTTAACAGCCTGTGGGGTCAAACGCCTATTAATATTGTCAATGAGTACTCGCCGTTCATTTTCATTCAAATCTAAACTATCCAAAATAGATGGGTCTCTGATAATCAAAAAAAAGAAACAAACACAAAACAAAGATCCAGGTTAAATTACCAATAATTGTGAAACACACTACCAGAGGATAATGATTAAGAGGGCGGGCTTTAGTGTCAGAATTCAAGGTTCAAATCTTAGCTTTGCACTTTAATAACTATGTCTTTGGGCCTTTCTAAATCCTGGCTTCCAACTGTGCAAAATGGGGATGAAAACAGTATAACTCACAGGCTTATGGTGAGTATTAAATGAGACAATGCAAGTAAAGCACTTAGCAGTGTATGACAAATAGAAAACAATCAATGATGCTTGGTTATTATTTAAAAAAAAAAAAGTAGAGCTCTGGCTAAAATAAGCAATTTACAATGTCTCCAAATACTAATGACATTCCACTATAATTAAGCATTTCCATGTAATTAACAATCACTGCTTCAAGGAGCTTATAATCTAGTTTGAAAAGAACCAAAAATATTGAAAAACTTGTAAAAATAAAGAAAAAGTACATCCACGGGAGCCAGGAAGGGCTTCATGGAGAAAGTGTGTCTCATCTGACCCTCAGACCCTCCAAGCACCGTGAGTCAGGGATCAGGGCCTTAGTTACTGCTGTATCCCCAGCACTGAGCACAATATCTAGCTGTCTGCTGAATGAACAAATGAAAAAAATGAAATAATAACTGAAACAATGGTAAGACTTTTACTTTCTTATAAGCAATTACAAGAGAGCTACAATGTATTAAAAAGGAATTGTATGAATAAATACCAGTTTTAAAACGCATGGACTCTGGTTAAGGAATGAAAGGTGAAAGAATTTGGGTGGCAGGAACATTCATTCACCTAATAACTAAGTACAAAGCAACAAGAAGACAAATCAACAGAAAATGGGCAAATGAGATGAACAGATTTTTTTTTTTTTTACAAGAAATACAAACAGTCAATAAACATATGACAAGATGTTAACCTCACCCACAGTCAGGAAAATGCAAATCAAAGCAAGATACCATTTTGATCGTCAAAAGGAAAAAATGTGAGATACATACAAATGTTAACGAGGATGTGAAGAAATAAGAAAACTCATACAACTGCTAGAATTGTAGAATCAACTTGGACAATAATTTGGCAAAACCAACTAAATTTAAAGATACCTATAATGCTATGGCCCAGCAATTCCACTCTTATGTGGAAACTCTCAAATACCTATACCTGGAGACATATACATGGATATTCATCACAGCATTATTTCAAAAATGGAAATCAAAAGGAAAATTACCTAAATATCTACTCACAGGGAACAGATAAAGCATATTCTCACAGTGAAAATACTATACAGAAGCTAATATGAATGAAGTAGATATATATCTATTGATTTGGAGAAATCCTGCTCAACAATAGCTGAGTAAAAATGCAAGCTATAGAAAGATACGATACAGTAACTGTTAAATACAAAAAGTGATTCTACGTATACTTATGGATACATGTATTTAGTAAAGCATTAAAAAAAAATGATAATGATATACACTCATTTCAGAATAGTGATTACCACTGATGAATTTATTTATTTATTTATTTATCTCTTAATTAAAAGAAAAAAATCTATGAAGCACATCTGGCAAAGAACTAACATTACTTAAATCTGGATAGTGGCTACATGAGTGATGAGGCAAAAGAAGAGTATTACAAGGAAAGGGAACAACATGTGCCAAGGCCTAGCGGTAAGGGAGGGGGTGCTGGAGACGGAAGCTAGAGAACTAAGCCAGGGCCAGATGACGGCAGTAAACCAAGTTAACAAATACACTGACTGAGGAGTACAGAATTAAGGTCAAGGAGACAGAAACATAAAGGAGTGCTTAATGGTTAACAGCAACAACTCTGGATCCTGGCTCTATCATTTGCTAGCTATGTGATCTTGGACAAATTACTTTAACTCTGCCTCCATTTCCTCATCTACAAGATAGGGATAACTTATACCATAGGATTGTCATGAGAATTACATAAATGTAATTATTATTATTGTTCCCACTCTTTCCACAATATGGTATTAAAAAACAAAAAACAAAGAGAGAATTCTAAGTCACAAAGGGGCAAGTCAGATGGGATTTGAAGCCCCAAATGAGGTTGCTTGCTGGGGGCTCTGGCAGTCGCATTCTGAGGGCTGAAGGGACTAACACCCTGCAGCAGCCCACGAGTTGGGAAGTAACCTCAGTGCAGTGGTGAGGTTGCTTGTGGAGCAGTAACATTTAGGAAGGAGTAGTGGGTGAAGAAGTAGAGATAGTAAGTGCACAGAACTGAAGGAGGCTGGCTGTTGAAAGGCGAGGTATGGTGCTTGATACAGGAAAAAGTAGAGGGAAGGCTAAGAAGTTTGATTCTTAGATAAATCGGACAAACTGGAACATGTTTTTACGCCAATGGAACAAAGCCAATAAAAGGAAAGGCTGAAGACTCAGAGGGAATAATGAATAGAAAGAGATCCTTGAGCAGTAGCTGGGCTCAGGTGGTAAGATTAGCTTGAGAGTAGAAAGGGTAAGGATTCTAGCATGTCAGGAGTGCAGGGGGAAATGACAGGTAGAATGGAGGTGAGTTTGCTGAAATGGTGGAAGGAAGTAGGGGAGTTCTTGTGCAATGGCTATTTTCTCTATAAAACAGCTGGTGAGCTCACCTGCTGGGAGTGAGGGGAAGGGTGGTGGAGTGGACAGGGCATGGAGAAGTTCTAAAATAGCCACTCTAAGAATGGGAGGAAGAGCTGACCAGGAGCAGAGAGAATGTGGGGCAGCTGGAAGGGCCCTGCTGAGGTTGGAGACCGTGCAAGACCATAATTTTTCTCTAGCAGCACTCAGCAGCCTAAAAGTGCAGAGAAGGCAGGAACATCACTCCAGGGCTGGATGTAAAAGAAGGACAAACGGGGCAAAAAGTTGATGACATTGGCAAAATAGCCACTTAACTGAAGGACCATGGTGTATCTATGCTGGATTAGAAATAGAAGGGGCAGGAGAGAGTGAAACGACAGGGAGAAAGAAAAAAGTTTGGAATTAGAGCCTGCGATAAGAGGGTAGGACTAACTATATGGATGAGAGCTGGAAGAACAGAAAGCTGTGATAAAAGAATGAAATATGTGAATTAAAGGTTTTAGACAGAGTAAATCCTGGCGCTGGCAAGGCCCAGGGTAAGGCTGCGGGAAACACTGGCTCAACTAATGTGGGCTGAAGTCAAAGGAATCGAGGTAAAGAAAATAACAGGTTACAGTTCTGGATGAGACATTTACATTGATCCTGAAGTTACCTAGGACAGTAACAAAACTAGGAGAGAGAGGAACACGTAAAACAGCAATGTGAGATGAAACCATATAGATCTGGCCATATAGGACTGGCCCAGATCATGGGTCTTTATACTGAAATTATTTTAATCTCAATTTGGCAAGGGTTTAATATGTGGATGTTGTCAGGATATTAAACGTCAGGTTATCAACTTGTATACTAGACCCAGCAGCTGTGATATCAAGGCAGAAGCAGAACCAAGAAGGTGTTCTTACGAGACTGCATGCTTAAACGCATCATAGGCACCATATCCAGGTCTCCGGTACTTATCATCAAACACCCAGGCAGTCCTCTGGAACAGGCTCTCCAGCTGCTCATCCTTGGTATATTCTAACACTTCAGCCACATGACGAAGAATGCTGTAAACCTAGAAACAAAATGAAAGGCTCAACAATTCGAAGATGCTTACAACTTTATGGTGATCCAGTTCCACACCCCTATCTCTAAAAAGTCACAAGGATTTACAGACAAACAAAGCTGGAAATTACTTTCTCTGTAGTAGTGTGTAGTCCAAGCTTAGTTATTAAAACTACCTAAACCCTGTGGTTTGAACCAACTAACCAGGAAAAAAAGTTACATTTTAGCTTTTAATAAGAAAAATCACTATACTGCTATAGTTCAGATCACAGAACTATCAAAGATAAGAGATCTACAAAAACAAACATTTTTACCTTTTAGTAGAAAGCATATGAAAACAAACTTTTAGTGCTTTGACTACAATTCCTGACCAGTGAAAGATCTCTACACGAGTTCTCTGTCCATAGAGAAATGCTTGCTTTCCCATAATAACAGATGAGTGTGCATATAAAAAATAGAAATACTGTACTTCAGTTAAGAGTCCCAAGTCTCGGGTCAAATCTTGACTTTGGGACAAATTAACCTTCCTCAACAGTTTTCTCTTCTGAAAAATGGAGATACTAATTCTTTCCTTCTTACTGCAGACAGCTCTTACGCAGATCAAATATATACCAAGCACATTTTATAAATGGAAAACTATTATGCAAATGTAAACTATTCTAGTTTTACTCCATATTAGAGTACAGAACCAGAATTGAGATATTTTACATTTTTTTCAGTGTGTTATCATTTAATAATTATCCTTCAATCCTCCCCTCACCCTCTGCCACCAAACTCTTTTTCTAACCTCCTAAAAATAATAAAGGGCTTAGAGAAGAGAAAGAATATAAAATAAGGTTTTCATGTTAGTTACACATGAAAATTAAGTAAGGAAAGGTACTAACACTGGCTATTTCATTTTTAAGTCTCCTTTCCTGATGTAAGATCTATCAGTCATTTTAACAGTCTACGAAGACAAAACAAAATGGAAGCTTCCTAGAGCAGTGTTTCTCAAGCTTGGTGGGGTCTGAGAGTCTGCATTTCTAATAAGAGCCAGGTGATGCCAATGTTGTTGATTCAGAGACTACATTCTGAGTAGCAAGGTCCTAGGGTTTAAAAAAAAGATTCTAAAGGAATTCTATAGTGTTTTCAAATTGCAGTAATAGTAAACACATCAGTGAAACAAAGGGAAAGACCTGGGCAATGGTTTGATGACTTTTATACCTTTATTTTCTCTGTTATGCTAGGTTTAAGCAAGATTTTAAAAAATCTCATCACTTGAACATTGTTCTTAGCATTTTCCCTCGAGAACAGGAACACACATGGCAGAAGAGAACAAAAGACACCAGAGAAAGGCAAAGAAAACAGAAACAATGGAATTAGTGCAATTAAAAACTGATGATGTAGACAATGAAGCCGTGAAACATCTTATAACATGGAGGAATCTGGAAGGCATTATGCTGAGTGAATTTAGTCAGTCACAGAAGGACAAATATTGTATAAGACCACTATTATAGAACTCAAGAAAAGGTTTAAATTCAGAAGAAAACATTCTTTGATGGTTACAAGGGTGGTGAGGGAGGGTGCGGGTTATTTACTAACTAGATAGCAGATAAGTATTAGATGAAGGGACAGACAGCACACACTACAGGGGAAGTCAACACAACTGGACTAAACCAAAGCTAAGAAGTTTCCTGAATACAGTCAAACACTCTGAGAGACAGAGTAGCAGGGGTATGGGTCTGGGGACCATGCTTTCAGGGGACATCTACGTCAACTGGCATAACAAAGCTTATTAAGAAAATGTTCTGCATCCTACTTTGGTAAGTGGCTGCTGGGGTCTTAAAAGCTTGCAAGCAGCCATCTATGATGCATCAATTGGTCCCAACCACCTGGAGTAAAGGAGAATGAAGAACACCAAAGACACAAGGACTATTAGCCCAAGAGACAGAAACAGCCACGTAAACTAGAGACTTCATCAGCCTGAGACCAGAAGAACTAGATGGTGCCCAGCTACCACCAATGACTGCAATGACAGGGCAGACAACAGAGAGTCCCAGATGGAGCAGGAGAAAGGTGGGGTGCAAAACTCAAATTCTAGTAAAAAGACCAGACTTAATGGTCTGACTGAGACTGGAGGAACCCTGGAAAGCATGGCCCCCGGATTCTCTATCTGCTCAGAACTTAAACAATTTCTGAGGCCAACTCTGCAGACAGGGATTGGACTGGACTGTGGGACATAAAGTGATACTCGTGAGGAGTGTGCCTCTTAGCTGAAGTAGATACAAGAGACTAAACGGGCAGCTTCTGTCCAGAGGTGAGATGGGAAGGCAGAGAGGGCTAGGAGATGGTTGAATGGACATGGAGAATCAGGGGTGGAAAGGAGGAGAGCAATTACGGTCACAAAACAATGTATGCATAAATTTTTGTATGGGAGACTAACTTGAAATGTAAATGTCATTTAAACTACAACAATAAACAAACAAAAAAAAAGAATTCAACCAGGTAAAAAATGAAATAAAAAAACTGAGGACGTAGGGAGTGAAGGATGATCTAAATGGGACCTAAGAACAGACAGAAGGAAGAAGAAATGACTGTGCTTGCTTTATTAGCACTCACTGTGAATGAGAAACAGGTAGGGAATTATGGGAAAAAATCTTTGTTTTCCTAGATTCAAAAAAATTTTACTAATCCTTGCTCGATACCCACGCATTCTTATCAGACAGCAGCTGAGTTGTCTCTATGGCCTTTACCCCGATCAGGGTTGAAAGTCAAGAAATATGAGTTCTGACATCCCAGTGAGGGATAAGCCAAATCAAATGAAGTCATCCACAGTTAATTTAACCTAAAATGGCTTCAAAACATTAACTTTCATTATTAGTGGTTAACTAGGGGTAGAGGGGAAGGGGAAATGAGGGGTTATTGCTTAAGGGATACTGAGTTTCTGCTAAAGGTGATGAAAAATTTGGAAACAAATAGTGATGGCAACATGGTGAATGTAATTAATGTCACTCAACTATACAAGTAAAAATGGTTGAAATGGCAAGTGTTTTGTTGTATGTATTTTACCACAAAACAAAACCCACTAACTTTCACCATAGATACGGGTGAATCAACATTCCTCCCTCACTTTAGATAAGGAGAGTCTTAGATCATAAGCTTTAAAGTAGTAGCGTTATGAGATACAAACACTGTACTCACACTCCTTTGAACGTAAGTCTTCAAATTATTCTTCCATATAGCATATAATTGGAAATATTTCTAAAAGCTACAGAAAATGTAGGATTTTTCTGTTGTTGATTTTATTTTTTGGCCAGGAAGGACACATGCTGATTATTTATTCGGCACATCAGATAGTGAACTAATTTGACTCAAAAACCAACTTACAGTTTTGGATTTGGTGAATTTGTCTTCACATTTGATTGCTTCCTCTGGAGAAACTCTTCTTTTTGACAAATCAATATATCCTGTCATGAGAAAATTTTGAAAAAAATAGCATTTTAAAGCAGTATCTGTCCAGTTGCCAACACACTACTGTGAGGAGTTTTCATAACCAAATAGTTTGGCTGGCATACCTACAATTATTCCCCCACTAAAATCACAGTGACAGAATATTACATAAGAAAGTACGAGAGAGTTTGGTTTTCAGAAATGCATTTTTATCATCAAGGTAACTGAATATCCTCTATTATTTTAGTGAAGAGAATGAATACTTTGCAATTACCCAAATGAAAGCTAGTCAAATTCTCTCCCTGTGCTTTGTAGAATAGAATTCACCGTGGTCTAGTTTAAGGTAAGAAGCCATCCTGGGTCAACACAAAACCTGAAACAAATTAGAACTGCTGTCTACTGACTACCATATTCTCATTGTCATAGTAGGTGCAGAGGAGCCCTGGTGGCACAGTAGCTAAGCACTTGGCTGCTAACTGAAAGGTTAGTACTTTGAATCCAACAGCTGCTCCGCAGAAGGAAGTTGTGACCCTACAGCATTGCTGTGAGTTGGAATCAACTTGAGAGCTGTGGGTGGGTGGGTGGACAACAGGTGCTTTACTTAAGCCACTGAACTCTCACAACAGCCCTGCGTGATACCTTATCATCTCTTCCTACACCACCCCTCCCTTTCTTTTAACCAGAGAAACTAAAGAACGGTTAAAAAATTTCCCAAGGTCTAACAGCCTGAAAATGGCTGAAATTCACAAACCTGTGCTGGGTTAGGACTTCTAGTACAATGCTGATTAAAAGTGGTGAGAGTCAGTATCTTTGCTTTGTTTCCAATAAATTGGGAGTAAAGTGTACTTGCAAATTTTTCTATCAGATGAAGGTAATTTCCTTCTATTTCTAGTTTGCCAATCTTTTATTACGAATGGGTGCTGAATTTTGTCAAATGATTTTCTGCATCTATTAAAATTATATGGTTTTTCTTCTATACTGTTAATATACATTGATTTTCAGATTGAGTTTTTCATTAAAAATTATGTATACACACACACTGAAAAATGCATTCAGCGTACAATTCTGAGATTTAACAAAAGAATATAGTTGTGTAACCACCACCACAATCAAGATATAGAACAGTTGCATTATGTCCCCTTAAATTTCCCCTGTATTCAACCCCACTCCAAGCCCCTGCCACCCACTAATGTTTTTGGTCCCTATAGTTCTGCCTTTTCCAGAACGTCAAATGAATGAAAAACAGCATGTAGCCCTTTGAGTTGGGTTTCTTTCACTTAGTACAATGCATTTGAGATTTATCCAGACTACTGCATGTATCAGTAGATCCTTTCTTTTTGTTCCTGAATTGTATTCCATTGTATGGATGTATCAGTTTGTTTTAACTCATTTACCAGCTGAAGGACATTTGTGTTGCATACGGGAAATCAATGCAATCTATTCTACTTGTCACACCAATGGAATGAAAATAAAATCTCACTTCTCTGACACCAATTAAACTGAAAGAATTCAACTCCAATTCAATTCTACTCTAGTTCTATTCCTAACTGTAGATGCAGTGCCATTTCTTCCTCTGACTCTAACCACTGGAGCTAGGTCAGATCTCACAAATTAAAGGGCAGTCCTCCAGACTGCTAAGTCTGCCCAAGACTTCAGATGCCAGCCACAAGCTTGGGGGTCCCCAGGGTGCCATCACTTCTGCCCTGCTGACTACAAATATGGGGATTTCCTCTACCCTCTTCAGGATGCCAGATGTAAACTTAGGGGTCCCCAGGCCTTCCTCACTTCTGACCTGCTGGCTCCTGCCACTCCTTTGGATCCCACAATTCCCTAGAATGACTCATGGAACTCAAGTAAATGCTATACTTCTGATTACTGTTGCTGAGACTAGTAAGAGGTACAGAGAGAAAAAACAGTCTTTCACATTTACCCACATATTTTCCATTTCTGGCATGACTTCTCTTTAACCTGAAGAACTTCCTTTACCATTTCTTGCTGTGGAGGTCTGTTTGATAATAAATTCTTAGTTTCTATTTGTCTGAAAACGTCTTCACTTTACTTTCATTGCTGTGGATTTTTGCTAGATGGAGGGTGCTGGTTTAATCATGGTTTTCTTTTCAGTACTTTAAAGATGTCACTCTACTCTTTGGCCCCCATGATTTCCAATTAAGAAGCTAGCTGCAATTTATATTATTGCTGCCCTGTAGGTGGTGTTCTCCTCTGGCTCCTTTCAAGATTTTTTCTTGATCTCTGTTTTTCACTTTCATGTGCCTAGATGTAGTCTTGTTTGTATTTACAGGTTTGGCAAGCTTCTCCAATTTGTAAATGTGTTCATCACATCAGAACTTTCGGTCATTATTTCTTCAAATATATTTTCTGCCCTTTCTCTCTCTTCTTTTCTTCTGGTATAGACCTATAGATATTGGATAGGTTGCTGAGGCTCTGCCCTTGTTTATTTTTTTTTCTCCCCTCTGTTCTTCAGACTGAATAATGTTCACTGAGTAATCTTCAAATTCACTGACCTTCTGTCATTTTCACACTGTTATTAGCCCATGCAGTGAGTTTTTTAGGTGCTGTATTTTTCAGTTTTAAAATTTGTATTTGGTTCTTTGTGACAGTTTCTAATTTCTCTGCTGAGATTTCATTCTGTTCATTTTTCTCTTATGTCTTGAGCAATTATAGTATCTGCTTTAAAATCTTTGTCTGCTAATTCTAACATCTGGGTCATCTTTGGGTCAGTCTCCATTGATTGCCTTTACTCTTGTGTATGGGTCACATTTTCTGTTTCTTCACGTTTAGCATTTTGGATTGTATCTCGGACATTGTGAATGTTACATGGCAGAGCCTCTGGATTCCTTATGTTCCTCTCAATAATACTGATTTTTTTTTTTTTAGCAGGCAGTTAACTTGTCTGGAATCAAACTATAAGCTGTCTCCCTAGATGAGAAGCAATCCAGATCCGTTTACCCTCTCTTGAGTTGCTTGGAGCCACAGATTTGATCAGAGTTTAATATCAACTTAGCAGCTCTCTGCTTTCTCTGATGCTCACCACTACCACTTTCCAGCTGCTGTGATCGTCCAGAACTCTGGTTTCTGGTTCTTCGAGTCAGTAAGACTGTGAGTTTTCCACTACAGCTTTAGCTGCCCTGCTTGAACTGTTTGCAGTCTCAGGCCATAAAAAAAGAAAACTCATGCAGTACAATTCCCTTCTTCCATGTCAATTCTTTTATTTTCTGCCTGCTTTTGGTTGCTCTCCATTGGCTTCAGGTAGTTTTTTTATATATGTCCAGAGTTTATAACTATTATATAATAACAAGTTCATCCAATATGAGCTATTCTATTATCAGAAATGGATCTTTTGCACTTTGCTTTTTTCTTATTTTATCCTGGAGATCTCCCCATATCAGAATATTCAGATCTCATTCTGCATAAAATTGTATTGCATGGGTGTAGCATAACTTATTTAACTAGTCCTCATTTTGGTTTCCTGTTTTTAATTAATACTGTGCAACGCTGTTACAGACATACTACTACATATAACTATTGTACTTGTGCAAATATACCCTTCCATTTCTTTCTGATCTCAGTCGAAAAGATATTTAGTTTCTTCTTTTGTATACATTTTATATGTAAAAAAAGTCATCTACAAAGATCTCTGTTGTAATTTAAAAGACGTGACCAAATATTTTCTCAGTTAAAAACACTATTTACATATGTTAACCAGTGCCCAGAACCATGCACCATTCTAAGTCCTGCTGGGGCAATTACGTAAAGACTCACAGAAGTTTAAGGAAAAGTCCCAGTCTTCCAGTAGTTTAGTACTCTTTTTTGGGGCGCTGCGAATAAGTCATATCAAAACATTTAGAACAATCAATGTGCTGAGCAGTAGTTACTACCAAAAGGATAGTTTAAGATGTCCCCAAAGGCTGTCATTTAAGATTACTCAGAAAAAAATGAAGTGCCAGTCATGTATAAAATTATTTACTTGGAGAAGTGAGAAAGTATCAGTAAACTGGATGGCTAAGAAGATTCAGAAAAACAAGTTTAATCAAGGTGCTTAATATGCAGTCTTTCAAGCATTATGGTAACTACTAACTGGAAAGGAACATCTAATAAATTATAGTGAGATGACTGGAACCAATTATAATTATATTAAACCAGTTGAAGCCAAAATCCATTTAAAGTATTGTACACTATGTTTAGAAAAAAATGTGTTCACAAAAGTGATAGTTTACACGGGGTCCAGAAAAAAGGCAATGAATGAGTAAAAAATTAATATTCACCAAGAACTGTCTAAAAGATCCACACAGGATATAGGGAACACAAACACTGTGATTACCAGAGAGGTATATAATACTGGGTTGTGGAGAAGGGGGTAGATATATTGCTTTCTCAAAACTTAAATATAAAATATTCCTAAAACCCATGTATTTTTGTCCCATTTCCACGCTCTGATTACCGTTAGCTTTAAATCAAGAAAGGGGCATCCAAGACAACAGACACATTCAAGCCTACCAATGCATATAAATGAACTTGTACTCTGGTTTACTCATCTCTTCCAAGTTTGGTCAACAGGAGTCAGTTACCAATATCCTAACTGTTGTTGTTGTGTGCCATCAAAGATCCTGATAACCACTGGGAATAAAAATTAAGGTTTTTGATGTACAAAAACTAGCCCCTGGAAGCATTAATTAAATCACTACTAATTTAAAAGAGGTATTGCTTAGATGGCTAACTGGCATCCTTCTCTAAAAACTTTGTATGAAAAAGCGTTTAAGTATAAAAAGAATTTTGTTTTTTTTATTGTAATAATTTACAAAAAACTATATTTTTAAATAAATCATTTTTTTAAACAACTAGAAATATGAATTACATTTTAGATAAATTTCTCACTTACCTTTTTCTTTGTCCACTCTAATGACAACCACACATTCATTCCTGCCAATTCGGATGAGTTTGTTTATAGAACGGATACGCCTTCTGGACAACTCACTAAGAAGAATCATGCCTTCAATGTTGTTGTATTCCAGCAAGCTGACATAAGCCCCCATTTCAGCAATGGATCTTACATTTACCATCACTACATCTTCCACCTCAGGAAATTTGTGTTGATAAAATCTACAACTTAGACCTGGCATTCTGCAATTTAAACAAAAGAATATATATTCAGTTACGATAAAAGAAGAAAATTCAATTTTCCACATCTTGCCATTAGGAAGAAAATAAAAGATAAAAGAAAACAAAGTTTATTAGTCTTCTCACATCTTTAAATTTCTTAAACGGCACCTGAAGAGATAGATGTTCAAATACGGAATTCAGGAAATCTTTATTAGTTTCATACACTCTTTATTCTGAATAACATCTAACAAGCTCCATCAAGAACCAAGCTTTAATTTTTATTTTGTTCCACATTTTTGTAAGGCTGGGGTGATTCTCTGCTACTAGTTTCAGAGGAATCATAAAAAATAATGACCATCTATAATCTGTGACCTAAGGATTAAAGGTACACTCCAGGTGTTACTTTAATACCACCACTTTAAGGAATACCAAATGATGGGAAGCATCACTACTATTATAAACCTATCAGCAAAACCAAGTCACTCTAAGTCAGGTAAGACTGTATATACCGCCACCCACTGTATAAACGGGGAAGAATCCCTTCTTCTTAACTCTATCATTTATTACGGCCAAAGCCATAATTACAGTATATTTCAAGGAGACAAAACCGAAAAATTCATTAATCACAAGACATTAAACATAACTAAAATATATTCTCTTTTCTTATTTTCTTCCTTTTCAAAGAAACTTGAATTTAATTCACAATTACCATAATTTCAGGTCTACTTTTCCCACTCTCAAATATCTTGTTGTTGTTGCTGTTGAATAGGTATACCTAATCTTGCGGACAGCTTTACAGATCTCCATTACTATAATGTTTACGTAAGTTTCTCTTAACCTCCAAGTATCAAATATATTTAAAACTATTCCCTTTGATCCACACAAGCTACTTCAGCACCACTCCTTTTCTCTACTACAGTGGTTCTCAAACTTGTTCAGGTGGTGGAGTACCTAGAAGTCATTATTCTTTAGCAAACACAAAATATTTCATATTAATTTCATTATTATGACTCATGAACCTAAAATCATACTATGGATAAATGTGTATTTTAAAAAAGGAAGCTCTCAAGCTAATCACAGCTGATTGTTTTCATATTTTTCTGTTAACCTTCACCTATTTACTGCTGTCAGAGTTCCGAGGGTAACTAGTACTAGGACCTAAAGATCTAAGAAAAAATTGTGAAAATTTATTTAATAACTTATTTTTCTTGTTAATTGGGAAATAAGGCTGCTGTTACTTGTCCTTAATGGTAGGACACTCACATCCAGCTCATGGAACACCACAGTTCAGCTGCAGTATAGTTTGAGAACTGCTAATTGGCACCCACATTATCTTCCCAGTTGCTTCCCACTATTGTTTACATCTTTCTACTATCTACAGGGCCCTATATAATTTGGCCACTGCCTATCTCTCTAAAGTACCTCTTAGAGAGCACCAACGTGCTCCCGTTTTATAAAGGAAGAAGTTGAAGCACAAGTTAAAAAAAAAAAAAAACAACTAATCCTTTCATACACTGCTAGCAAGCGATAGAGCCAGGATTTCACCCATGCAGCTTGAACTATCCTCTGCTCTTTCTAAAAGGCTGTAGTTCCTCAATATTATCAACAAATGTATTACAATTAGAAACATCTTACTTAAAACAAAAAGCAACATTAACATACATATTCAGTGCTCAATCACATACTACAGATGAGTGCAAACTATTAGTACTACTACTAATCTGTCCTATTAAGCAAACAGAAAGCAACATAGTAACAGTGGCAGGGAGGTAGTTCTTTTGTAGCTTAACAAAATAAGGATTAAACAAATAAGGGGAACCAGACATTCAATGGCCAGAACCATCCACCAAGAAACAGCTGAGCTAGTGTTTTTTTCAGTTGTTTTGTTTTTAAACAGGGATTTTTTTTTTTTTTTTTTTGACAATTGTCAAGTGTCTGTATGTAAAGTATTCAAATTTGAGAGCTAAAAATAGTTTCAAACTGGGTGTCAAAACAAATGACATAATGGAAACATGTGAAACAGTTTAAAGAGATTTAGTAGATGTTAACCACACTTACTTACCAACTTTCCCCAGATGCACAGCCAATAATTTTTGGGATGCAAGGCTTAATTTGATGGTTAAACAACACAGGCAACAGTGTAAGAATCCTGAAGAGAGATATGAATGCTACTTCTTTAGGAGATACAAGTCTCTTGGCAATACACAGACTAAATAAAGGAATACTGCTGAGGATTTCTGTATGTTATTCACCCTAAAGATACGTAGCTGATAAGGAGCAGAAGAATCTACTTCACAAAGAACCTGTATATTGGTTGACGAGTTTTAACCACATCTCCTTACAAAGTGCAAATGCTACTAACACTAACTTTTTGTATCATTCAAGAAATCAGAAACACGTTAGCTATTTTGATTCAGCCCTCTTATCATTTTTCAAAGCACTCTGACTTATCTTATTTGGACAACAACAACAAGCCCTCAAGTCAGGCAAGTAGCATGGTGAACTTTGGGGACAGCCCCAGACCTGGGTTCGTCATCGCTCTCCTATTTACTAGCTGTGGTTGCTTGGGGTACTTCCTTTAAATTATGCTTTCTTGTCTCTGTCATGTACTGCACATGTTTGTTGAAGGTATCAAATGAGATAAAATATATGCAAGAACATTTTGAAGAGTGTAATGTGCTATATAAACATTGAAAAAAACCCTTTGCTGTCAAGTCAATTCCGACTCACAGCAACCCTACAGGACAGAGTAGAACTGCCCCATAGTTTCCAAGGAGTGGCTAGTAGATTCGAACTGCCAACCTTTTGGTTAGCAGCTATAGCTCTTAATGACTATGGCATCAGGGCTCCTGTATAAACATAAAATATTAAAATGCAAAGCAGGTATTACTTTCATTTTATAATACATTAAAGTTATTTTTGCAGTATCTACTATGTACCAAACACTAGCAATACAACAAGAAAAGATCCTAAAGAACTAAGTATAGAGCAGGAAACAAACAGTAAGCAAGTAATTACAATACAAAGTACTATGAAAGGAGCACAGTGAATCAATTAACAGAGAACTGAAGCACGGAAATATTAAGTGACTTCCTCAAGGACAAATGCCTGATAAGTACTAGAGCAGGAGCTAAACCCATGTCTTCTGACATCAAACCCAGAGCATCCTTCTCTAACCTACACACTCTCAATATGTTAAAGAATACTACAATACTATATGTGCTCTGAGATTTAAAAAAAAAAAAAAAAAAAACTTTCAAAATATACTGGAGTCCCTAGGTCTCGCAAATGACTAAGTGCTAGACTACTAAACTAAAGGTTGGCAGTTCAAAGCCACCCAGAGATGCCTTGAAAGAAAGGCCTGGTGATCTTTTCCAAAAGAAAACCCTAGGAAGCACAGTCCTACTCTGAAACACATACAGTCGCCAACTAGATGACAACTGGTACTAACATGTGTTCTAAGATAAAAAATATTATCCATCTCTCAAAATATAGTAACTGAATTCCAGGCTAACTTCAAATCATTTGTAATTCTGCCTGGTCAAATGGTATACTGGACTTCCTTCTTAAACCAGTGAGTGCACAGTCAACTCACCAAAATGGAGGCAGGGAGTCCACATTCCTTTCCAAAGTAAAGCATATAATGTGACAGGGACAACGCCTGTGATAAGATAATCATAACTCCATTCTAATACTTGCAGACGTGCTCTTTGAATACTAACTTTTAGTATAAAAACCCTACATAAATAAAGCTTTCGAACTATTTCACAGTAGTTGACATAGGAAATATCACCAAACCTCTGCAAACACTACTGTGCATTAAGCAACTACGTCTTTTGTAACTGTCATTTGGCATCAGATGAACTGAAAACTGGCAGCAAGGCTCTACATAAGTAATTCTCAAACTATTGAAAGACACAGTTACAAGTTTTTTCCTTGAAACACAACTCAATCAGAGGAGAAAAATCAAGGCTTCCCTTGCTTTTCTTCAAGAAAGTGTTTCTTGTTTAAAGGCAACATAAGCTTTGCAGATTAAAGGGAACTCAGACTGAATGCTTACGTAACCCGAAGTATTCTTTTGTTATGCTTTTAGTTATGCTTAGGTATACAACCAGTGTGTTTCCACAGATCTATTCTACTTATTGCCGTAACACGGCGAACTGCAACTAAGAGATAAACTCGGTAGTACAATTTAGTTTCAATTCAAGGGGTGACGTAGTCTACAGAAATGCACAAGAGCCGTAAAATACTATGAAGGTTTTTAAAAACCAATTATTAGATTAATAAACTATTCTTGGATCCTCGTTAACTCAGATCTTTTCAACATGGTGACCCATTCCACTGGTTACTTGAAGTGTCCGGTCTGATTTCCATTTAGAAACCATTTTCGTAGTACTGCTAGGGCGGAAGAAAAAAGAGGGATTGAATTCTTAGGCCCGGAAATAGTAAGGAGCCGTGTCCTAGGTCGGGGTAGGGGGTGACAGCGTTCTCCCGAGGCCGCCCCACCTCAAGTGATGTTCACTTTAAGCATACTGAAGAGGCTGTACTGTTCACTTGGCCCATCTTCTATTACGAAGCTCCTCCACTCGTACAACGATGACTCTTGATCACGGAAAGACCGCCTCGGAACCGGCAAGAAGGCCCGCTGCACAGCCGGCAGTGTCCGGATACTTCCCGCTCAGGGACGGGAAAAGGAGGGGGTCTTAGCCCGGGGCCCACCCTCTCGACTACCCGTCACTGGCCACAAACCAAAGTAAGTTCTTGGAGAAATCGAGCTGGGGGATTAGTCACCTGAGGTATGTGTGTGAGTCCCGCACTAGCGTCTCGCGCCGCGCTCTTTGATAGGAAAGATCAGACTTGCCCCACCAACACCAGCCGCCGATACTCCTCAGCGTGCGCTTCGCTAACCCCACTGCGCATGCGGAACCACCTCGCACCACGCAAGCGCAAAGAGAATAGAGGCCCTTCTTCACTGATCATAGAGTCCAGGTCATCCGAGAACTAGAAAGAATGTGGGTCATAAAAAGCCCGGAAAAATGCGCCGTCTCGCTGTCTTTATTTTTCACCAAGTAACCTGAAACACTCGGGGAAGAGGCAGGACTCTGACTCTTTGTCCCCGAAAAATGGATTCTTTCGCAAAGCTTTGGTCAACCATGAGGTGGCGCTGTGAAAAACGGAAAAGTGGAGGAAGAAAAGGAGTGTCCTCTTAGCGCCTGTTCTTTCTCCAGGCACGTGTAGCGCCTTGCGCAGCCGCCGGGGAACTGAACGGGGAGGGGCTGGCAGGCGAACCGGAATTGAGGGGTGCTTCCGCGGTGCGCGCGCCTCGACATCCGGGCACCACCTTTTCTCCCGCCTCTCCCGGCTCTTGTGCTAACGGGAAACGGAAGTGGAGTGCGTATCCTGCTGCCTCTTAGCAACGCGAGGAGTCAAGTGACCAAACCAGCTGACTCCGGTAGGGAAGACACGGTGGCTGCGGGAACTGAAGCTAGTGCAGCCACGATTGCCCGGCCGGAGTCTTGAGCCGAACAGTGATCGTTAGAATGTCGGGCAAAGACCGAATTGAGATCTTTCCCTCGCGAATGTGAGTAAAAGAATGGGAAGAGCGGCACTCAGAGGCTCAGGAACACCTGCCGGGAGAGCGGTCAGTTCATACTCTGGACCAGCAGCGAGCTTCCTTTTTTTCTGGGCCCATCCTGCGCTCTCTTCCGGCCTCTTTTCTTGAGTCTAGGGCGATGCTCTTCGACAGACCCCACACCAATTTCTCCGGAGTAAACCAGACTGGGCAGAGCGATTACAGCCCATAGGATCAGATGCTTGGCCTGCTGGCTTATGTGGAGGCGCGCTGTCGCTACATATTAATCGAATCATTCATTCCACATACCCTTATTAAGGCCTACTATGTACCAGGCATGGAGCCCTGGTGGCGCATTGGTTAAGCGCTCGCAGTTCGAACCCTCCAGCCGCTTTGCGGAAGAAAGATGTGGCAGTCTGCTTCCGTAAAGATTTACAGCTTGGAAATCCTATGGGACAGTTCTGCACTGCCCTATAGGGTCACTATAAGTCAAAATCTCCTCGAGGGCAGTGGGTTTTGGGATGTACCAGGCCCTGTGCCAAGCTCTGGCTTTATATAACTGAACCTTTGCCACCCCTGCCCTCACAGAGCTCACAGTTTAGTGGAGAGACAGATAAGCAAATGAGGTTTGATAAATGCTCCAGGAGAGGTTTAGTGCGGTGGGAACACATAGAATAGGTACCTCAGCCATACTGGGAACTGAATAGAATCCCTTTACCATGAACATCAGATTAGAGCTTGGATCGTCTTATTCCTTTTCTTAGACCCAGTCAAATGTCACTTGGCGGTGGGAAGATATCCCTGAGTTTCTGAGGCACTTCTTGTGCACTGTCACCACTGCTCCTTGTTCACATCTCTATTAATACCATCCATCACATCGTAAAGTGGATGTTTGTTTACGTATCTTTCTGTCCCACTGGACTGTGAGCTTTCTCCAGGTTGTGAGAGCGTCTTGATTATTAACCCACAAAAAATGTTCCTTGAACAAATCTATGCCTTGGAATCTGTTCAGCTGTGGGGCTGTCTTTCTCTTTTGGCCTGAATTCTTTGACAGGAGAAATAGCATAGCATGCTAGGTGTTTGATCAGTTTGTAAAAAAAGAAATGTTGAATTTTTCTGAAATGTGCCAACAACCTGTGGAGAGTAAAGATTGTTCTTACTTGTGCTCTCTCCCTCCTCCCTTTTCTTCTCTTATGTTTTTCAGTGACGAGGCAGAAAATCAGTTTTGGCTCTGACATTTAGATCTTCAGTGATCTTACCTGTTTGAGGTTTTCTGTTGTTTTTCATCTTGTCCTTTTTCTCAAAAAATCTGAGGACACTTAAAAATTGTATTCAAATCCTAAACCCAGATTTCTAATTTGGCCAGGGTAGCTATATCTCTTAATGAAATGAAAGATTTTGTTGCATTTTTTACCTTCACCTTCTGGCTTTCTAATAGCTGTTTGCACTGGTTGGGGAGCAAGCCAGTTGAGAAAGGCAATTTCTGTGAAGTAGATAAGGATCAAGACTGCCCTGCATAGTCGAATGCTCATGTTTCTTGTTTTTACTTTGTTTAGGATGAACAAAGGTGAAATATGCTTGTCTGGGCTTGATGAGAAAAATGATAGGTTTGTGAAGGTGAAAATTGCTAATTGAGAGGAAAATCAAGGGCAGGAAGTAATCACTTCTCTAAATGTTTTTCTCAAGGCCTGACAGCAGGTACTTTGTCATATGGTCAGATGTCTTTGATTCAGCTGGAAACAAAGCTGTCATCCTAGCTGAAGGTCAAACTTTTTTTTCATAGTGCTAAGCAGCTCTGAAACATTTAAAAGAGCAAGTTTTTTTTGAGACCTGGGCTAGAAAATATACTGACAACTACTCTTTCATAGATAATTCCACTTAAAGTAATATTCTGCAAAGTGCTACTCTTACCCTACTTATGCACCTACTTAAGCAAACCAAGTTTAGAGTGGAACCAAAAGGCTTGCAGGATTTGGAGTCAACAGAGGTCTGCCAAATCCAGGTTCAGCAACATAGCTAGCTGTAAGCCTTTAGGCAAGTCCCTTGTAGAGTCTCAAAAATTTAAATTTGCCCTCTTCACAGAGGTGCTGTTGCCTTGGAGGAAATTAAAATTAGTATGTAGAATTTAATCTTAGTAATCAATTCACCTTTATAGTATAAACTTGTTGGAATCTCAGTACTTACTAGGTTTTGGCTTAATTTGATCCAAGTCTTTTGAGCCCAGAGTCTGGTGGTTAGTGTCAACAATAAAGTGTGTTAAATACACACATGGGAGTGGATAGCTCTTGCTCAGGTTGAAATCTGAATCAGCTTCAGTTGGTTAGACCTCCAGTGAGACCAGTCAGTGCAAAGTCAGCCCCAGAGAGATCTTTCAAAGAAAGATGGTACTTGTAATCTTGAAGGAGAGGCAGTGCGGCATGTGGTTTGGGTACAGTGGACTTAGGTTTGAGCCTTAGGCAATTCACTGGAGTGACACATCTGTGGTTCAAGTTGCTGCCCTGCCTTTTCTTGCAGAATGACTATGGGAAAGTCGCCTCACCTTTCTGCGCCTCATTTTCCTGATCTTTCAGATCATGTCTGCTGTCTCTTCCATCCGTAAAATTGTCTCAGTAGCCTTAACCCGATGGTAAGAGATTCCAGTATAGTCCAAGAATTTAGCCAAAAGACCCATGAATACATGCTATTTTAAACCACCCACTATGTGAAATTTTATCTTCTTTAACAAATCACTGTAACTGCCTAGGTTGTACAATCTGTTACTGAGTTTTATTACTCAAACACTTTTTTTCATTACTAAATTTTATGTAGCATATGGCAGCAAGAACAGAAATGTCAATTTCTGCTGTTGTTTTCTTGACCTTGTTATTGGGGCTTCTGATGGGAAAAGATTGAAATAAAGAGGTGGGGAGGCTTCGGTGTAAGTTTAGCTTTTCAGCTCTCAGCATCTTATATATGTTATTTATTACCTAGAGTCATTTAAAATTAATAAAATGATTGATATTTGGGTCTTGATGGGTGGATGTCAAAACACCTTATACTTTTAAAAGAAAAAGTAATAAATGGTTGTGGTATAAAATTCAAAAGGTACAAAAGAGTATAATAGTAAAAAGTAAGGCTCATTTTTTTCACCTAACCTCATTTTGCAAAGGTAACCACTGTTACCAATTTCTGTGGATCCTTTCTAGAACTATTTCTGCATCTATATAAGCACATTTATTCCTTACTTTGTACAACTGAGAGCACTCTAGATGCTGTTCTGCTCTTTTGAATAAAGTATAGGGAGATTGTTCCATATGTGTATGTGTATATCTGTCTTTCCCCTTTTTTTGTGGCTGCATATCATTCCATTGTATGGTGCACCATGATTATTTAAAATTTAGCTTGTTTCCATACTTTTTTTATTACAAATAAGGCTGGAATGTTTATCCTTGTATGTGTTTTTGCATATATACAGGAGTAAATCCATAGGATAAATTTCTCGAAGTGGAATTGCTGGTCTGAAGATAAATCCATTTCAAATTTACATGTTAATGGACAGCTTTTTTTTTTTAATCTTTAAAAACATCTATGATGAAAAAAGATATTTTAATTTAAAAATCAAATAAGTATGATTTAAATTTTGCTGGCATCGTAAAATAGGGCTCCTGATAACTTATGATTTAATCAGTATATATTCTAGATACTGATTAAATAATTGTTTCTGTTTTAAATAAGCCTTCTCACCTACCAAACACGCAGTGGAAAACTATGGTATTGGAAAACCAACTAAACCTGTCAGCTACAAATGCTATATATTCTCACTGTCATGGCAAAGAATAAACCATCATTTTAACACTGTATTGGGGAGGTATTTTGTTTCTTTAAACAATGGGTAGAAATGTCTTTGACTCTATTATAGGGCACAGACCATCATGAAGGCTCGATTGAAAGGAGCACAGACGGGTCGAAACCTCCTGAAGAAAAAATCTGATGCCTTGACTCTTCGATTTCGGCAGATCCTAAAGAAGATAATAGAGGTAGAATGAACTTTGCTTTGTAAAGTATTTATTTTAGAACTATCTAAGGAAAATCCAGTCTGGCCCTTGGCATTTTTAATTCTTCTCTAAGTTATTACAATTAATTTTTTTTTCAAAAGTAAAATACCGTTGTCATTGTAATGAGCTTCAGACAGTTCACGTAATGAAATCCAAACCCCTTATCCTTGCCCAAAAAGCCCCGCTTGATCTAATCTGACCTCATTTTGAGCATTCTTCCCAACTTCCTCCTCTAGGGCCTTTGCATTAGCTGTTTTTCTATCTGAAATGCACTTTCCCCAGATCTTCTCATGACAGGTTTCTCTGGCCATTCTGTCCTCTTCAGAGAGGCCATTGCTGATCCCCTAGTCTGCAGTGATGCCCGTATTTCTTTCTGTCACATCTTGTTTTATTTTTATCATAGCACTATTGCATGATATTGTCTAATTTGTTTCCCCCCACTAGAATATAATCTCCATGAGAGCAGGAACTTTGTCTTTTCAGCACTATTTTTCCAGGACCTAAAATAGTGCTGACATGTAGTACGTTTTAATTCAATTCTTTTTGGAAAATTGATAAGTGAAATGAGAATTATACTTTAAAAAAGAACATTTTTCTCCTATAATTCCTGTCTCCCCACAGCCCTGGCATACTTCTCTGATTTCCTAGAGGTAGTTCCTTTTTATTTTTTAATATTTTACTGTATTTTAAGTGAAAGTTTACAGAGCAAATTAGTTTCCCATTCAACAAATTGTACACAAAGTGTTCCATGACGTTGGTTGCAATCCTCACAAAATGTAATTTCTTTTGACACTTTGGTTTATATACACAAAATTCTAGAATTCTGTAACATTCCTGCCCTTCCTCCCATGGTGGCAGAAGTGGACAGCTTTCTACATGAATACAGACAGATCTGTCTCATTCTTTGTAATAGCTACATGGTACTCCATTGTATGGATAATGGGATGTAGCCATTTTTCTGTTGATGAATATTTAGTTCTACCTTTTTTTTCTCCCCCTCTTAAATCCTTATGTGTATGTGTGCCAACATTTTCTATAAAAGAATCTTAGAATCTGGAACCAAGGATAAACTCTTTTAAATTTTTGATAGTTAACTGCCAAATTTCCCTCCAAATTATTATACTGGTTAATTATATTCCTACCAAACGATGTGTTAGGGGCATTTTTTCCTTAAATTTTTCCTAATTGTATATTAATCTTTTTTTGTTGTTGCCAATTGATCAGACTAAAATTGATATGTTATATTAATTTGCACATTTTCATGTTTACTGGTAATTTGATTTTCTTGGTAAATTTTTTTTCATACTTGTAGGATATATACGTGTATGTATGTATGCGTGTGTGTACTTACATATACACACACACACACTTTTTGGGGGGTTAGTGTGTAAAATGTTAAAAATATTTTCTCAGAGTCTTTTTTTTTTTTTTTTTATTTGAGCAATAATGAGATGTACTACTCAGGGGAGGTTGCAGTTTCTTGCCAAGTCAGGATTAATATAGTATTTTTTAATGATATCCTAAATTTTTGTTTGGTCAAATCTGCCAGTCTTTTCCTTTATATAATTTCTGGATAAAATATTAGAAAATAATCTATAGTTTATTATTTTATTGATTTTTTTAAAATTTTATTTTTAATATGTTTGGAAATTTTTTTTGGTGTGATGTGGGAATTCAACTTTATCATTTGCAAATGGATGCCAGTTGAATGATGTCTTTACTAAGTTTCCATGTAGACTTGGGGTTGTTTCTGAACTCTGTTCCATTTCGTTCACTTACTTGTACTAGCATCATACTTCGTTATCATAGCTGTGCATTTTTAGTACCTGGTAAGGCAATGCCCCACCCACCTACACTAGTTTTTCTTCTCGTTCAAAAAAATTATATGGATATTCTTAAGCATTAAATTGTCCAGAAACAGTATGCCATTAAGATTTTGACCACAACTGCAAAGAATTTAGGAGATTAATTTGAGTAAATCAACATGTACCCGTTAAAGAATAAGATAAGTCCTTTGGTAAAGCCTTATACTTTTCTATTAATGTGTTTATTTTGATGTTTTAATTATAAAATTCTTGGTCTTGCAACATAGTTAGTGATGATAACCAAAAATGTTGAAGCAAAATTGGAAATTTTTATTTTGTTTTGTCGTTACCATTATCAGATTAATATTTACATGTGCACCAAGCATAAAGTACTGATGCTTATTAAAGGAACATAATTATGATATGATTTTCCTTGGTAGAAACTTGGTTGAGTCTGTTGGTGTATGCTTTTCCAGACTAAAATGTTGATGGGTGAAGTGATGAGAGAAGCTGCCTTTTCACTCGCTGAAGCCAAGTTCACAGCTGGGGACTTCAGGTAAGAAGACTGAATGGGGTGTTTTGAAAAAACAAAATGCTTTAATGTTCGTCATTTTATTTAAAAACCGTTTTGAAATTTAAGAATATATAAGCGTAAAGACAAATTATGTAGTAATAATGAAGAAGAACACTTTTAACTCCATCTTAACACCATTGTTTCTATTGCCATCCACGTGTATCTTTTATACAGTTGCATGCACAGGATACTTAATATTTTGTAGTTCATTTTCGTTTAACATTGTATCATAAACATTTTGTCATGTGCTCACATGGTTGCGTAGTCTTCATCTGTTGTTGTTAGGTGCCATCAAGTCAGTTCTGACTCATAGCGACCCTGTGTACAACAAAACAAAACACTGCCTGGTCCTGCACCATCCTTACAATCATTGCTGTGTTTAAGCCCATTGTTGCAGCCACTGTCACTCTACCTTGATGAGGGTTGTCCTCTTTTTAACTGATCCTCTACTTTACTGAGCATGATGTCCTTCTCCAGGGACTGGTCCCTCCTGATAACATGTCCAAAGTATGTGAGACAAAGTTTTGCCATCCTCGTTTTTAAGGACCATAGGACAGATTTGTTTGTTCTTCTGGCAGTCCATGGTGTATTCAATATTCTTGGCAATGCATAATTCAAAGACATGAATTCCTCTTCAGTCTTCCTTATTCATTGTCTAGCTTTCACATGCATATGAGGCGATTGAAAATATCATGGCTTAGGTCAGGCACACCTTGATCCTCAAAGTGACATCTTTGCTTTTTAATGCTTTAAGGAGATCTTTTGCAGCAGATTTGTCCATTGTAATACATTGTTTGATTTCTTGACTGCTGTTTCCACGGGCATCTTTATCTAGGTACACCATAATTTATTAACTCTTTCTCCTAATGCTGGACCTTTGGGTTGATTTTCAGGTTTTTGGAATATTAGGGAGTGTGTGCAGTGAATATCTTCGTGCATATATATCTTTGTTTCTGTTGAAGTATTTCTTTAGGATAAACTTCTAAGAACAGAACTGATTAAAGAGCACAAACTTAATAGCTTTTGTCATATCAATAGGAATTCTTGAGTGGCACAAACGGTTAAGCTGTCGGCTGCTAACCAAAAGCTTGGTGGTTCAGACTCACCCAGAGGTGCCTCGGAAGAAAGTTGTGCAATCTGCTTCTGAAAAGTCATAACCATGAAAACCCTGTGGAGCACAGTTCTACTCTGCAACACAAGGGGTGCCATGGGTCAGAATCGGCCTGACTGGTATTGGTCACGTTAATATATCCTTTAAAGATATGTCTAAGCATACAAAGTGGTTTCCATTATTGCTTTACAAAGGGGTTGTGCCAATTTACATATGTTATTCTCAAAATAACCCTGAGAGGTAGACAAGGCAAACATTAGTCTCAGTTTAAGTTAATTACCTTCCTGAAGTCACAGGGCTAGTTAGGGGCCTAGGTGGAAGTTGTTTTCAGGGTTTCTGAGTTTAGTCTTCTTTTCCTAATGACATGATACCTCCATTCTTATTTTTTTTATTGGTATAACTGGTGAAAATACAGAACATATGCCATCTTAATTTTTACATGTACAATTCAGTAACACTGATTACGTTCTTCAAGTTGTGCAGCCATTTTCTTTCTCCTTTGTGAAATCATTCCACCACCATTAACATAAACTCAATGCCCCCTAAGCAAACACTCCCCCAGTGTCTCCATTCTTAGCCATTAACCAGTTGCTGCTGAGTCGATTCCAACTCATGGTGACTGCATGAGTAGAACTGTGCTCCAAAGGGTTTTCAGTGGCTGATTTTTTGAAAGTAGATTGCCAGGCCTTTCTGTTGAGGTGCTTCTGGGTGGACTTGAACCTCCAGCCTTTCAGTTAGCAGCCCAGCAGTTTAATATTTGTACCATACATGGACTCCGCCTCCATTCTTAGATTGTATTATCTAAGAGCTTTACCTGGTGGTAGGTCGTCCAGCCTGAGAGGCATACTGCCCTTTGAAGTAGTAAGCCTTAAGTTTTGCCAGTATTGGTAAGAGAACAAATAGCATTGATTATTTCAGCAGAAAGAGGGAATCAGTAATGTTTGTTTTGTGAATGTGGTTAAGGGTAGTTATGGAGAAGGCACATTTTATGATGATAATAGGTGAGGAGTCAGACAAGGCTGATGGAAGTTCGATAGGTTCCAGAGTAAAGGAAGTGAACTCCTGCTTAACCAGTTGAGCAGCAAACCTAGAAGGAAGCAAAGTTTTCTCCAGATTACATGAGGCAAATAACCCTTAAAGTCACATCGTGCACCAAATGTATGACTGAAAACTCACGCATTTTTATGTACTTTCAAAATCATTCTTCACTGCTAATGCTTTGACTAAGGAGCCCTGGTGGCACAGTGGTGAAGCACTTGACTGCTAACCAAAAGATCAGCAGTTCAAACCCACCAGCTGCTGCATGTGAGAAGGGTGTAGCAGTCTGATTCCATAAAGATTAGAGCCTTGGAAACCCTACGGGGCATTTCTACCCTGTCCTGTAGGGTTGCTATGAGTTGGAATGGATTGGACCGCGGTGGGTTTAATGCCCTGAATGTTTTTCATTTTCTGCTCTCTGAGGCCTTGCTCTGGCAGCAGAGAGTTCTCTCCTTTTCTGGAAAAAGACAATTACCAAAACTTACTCAATTGTGACATCGTATGAGTCGGAATTGACTCGACGGCATACAACAACAACATTCTTGGTCTAATTTAATGTTGAAAGTATCCAGTGGGTCCCTGTGGGTTTATTTCTCACTCTAAAAACACAGCTAATAAAGGCTTTTCTTTTTCTGCAGCACCACAGTTATCCAAAATGTGAATAAAGCCCAAGTGAAGATTCGTGCAAAGAAAGATAATGTAGCAGGTAACTTTTCAATCCTGTAGAAGTCGTGGGGCAGAAGATATAACATTTAAAAAATTAACTTGTTTATATAGCAAGACCTTGATTTACCAATTTCTCTCTTCTCCTTAGAGCCAGTTGATTGGTTTTACATGCTAAAACCATTGTAACAACTGGGTCCCTTATTATTCAGGATGATTTGACTTTTGTCATTCATTGAGACCAGTTGCAATTCCAGACTTCGTTTCTTGACTTCTGAGTATTTGATGAAAAAGAAACACTGGAAACAGTGATTAAGAAACAGTACTTCAAAGATATTTTGTGACTCCCATCTATGCTTCTCTGTTTAACAGGCGTTACTTTGCCAGTGTTTGAACATTACCATGAAGGAACTGATAGTAAGTATGAAACAATTTATGTAAGGCCATGGCCTTTTCTTTGAGTGTGAATCCACCCGTTAGACTTCTGTGTTCTTTTTGCACACCGTAATGCATTGTTTATAGTTTCCAGTTTGGGTCTTTTAAAAGTATTTTATGATCTTAGACACTGTGATGCAATCTGAAGGCTGAATCTTTATAGATTTTTATAGCTTCTTCCCAATTTTTTTTAATTGCCTCACCGTTTCTAATTTGATAGCTTTTTTTTTTTTTTTTTTGGATGATAACATGCCTTTCCAAAGTAGCCAACTTTTTTGTTTTCCACTGAAACAGTGTTCTTTTTTTAGGCACTTACAGTTCCTTGGTTTATATAATATTTAATTAATTCACATGGAGTAGCAAATACATGCAGTCCCTGACTTATGACAGGATTTCGTTCTGACTCCGTTGTAAGTAGGTTCTGACATAAGTTGATTGCCTCTTTTTTTTTTTTTTTAAGTTTTCATTATTGCCTTTTACAAATCAGTATCTTTATAAATGTGATCTTTGAACATCTGCAAGTGAACATCTGAGAATGATAACATCAGCAAATTACACCCTGCAACACTGAATGTAGAATATATTACTAATGATGGGATACACACACACACAAAAAAAACAGTCTTTAAGTCCAGTTCATCGTAACTTGAATATGTCATAAGTCACCTGGACAGCTTGAATAAAGAGGCAGAGCATTCCAGAGTTGCCTGTTAACAGAGAGCATCACTGTATTGTGGTCCTCAGCCAGTATGATTTACTAGCAAGCTGGTGAAGTGAAGGTTGGGCAAAAGCTCCTCCTGTGGTTACATTTAGAATAGTATCTTTGTAGAAAACTGTATGCAGCAGCATGGTCCTGCAGTGAGATGGGCATCTCATCTTTGCCTTAAACCAGGGTCGGTGAATTTATCTTTTGATGATCAGTAGTAGTCTGAATTATCTTCTTTTTGGGAATTTTATGGGGGAAGATTGTTTATTCTCTGTAATTACGAATGTTGTCTGACTGCCTCTTTCAGGTTATGAACTGACTGGTTTAGCCAGAGGTGGAGAACAGTTGGCTAAGTTAAAGAGGAATTATGCCAAAGCAGTGGAACTACTGGTGGAACTAGCTTCGCTGCAGGTAGGTAGCAGCAGAGCTAGAGAACTCCTGGAGTTCTATTTCTAATGGTCAAATGGGGGAGGTTGAAGTCGAATCAGCACATATTGCAGTCAGTAATACAAACTCTCCATGAACCTGTGTTCATTGAAACAGGCCTAAGATCTTTTAATTTCTGAAATGGTGGCTTCTGCACCATTGTCACTACTTCTGTTACTAACAAAATGCTGTGTGGTTTTTCTAGGTGAAAAACAACAGTCACCACTAGACTTAAATATAAATAGAACATGGTTTATGCATGAAGGTCATTTGTTTTTCTTTTGTGACCAGTGAACATATATCTGCCTTATTCATGATTCTTTTGCCATCTTTATGTCTTTATTTATATGGGTCTGGAGTAAACACATTATACTAGTATAGAAATGGTGTTAGGTATGTGGAAATCTCACAAGATTTTCCTGGTTTTTTAGCATGTTTGAAAGTAGTAGTCTTGGTTCCCAGATGTTTTCTTCAAGTGCAGTCTGAATGGAGCCAAGTAATCAGGGCAGGATTAGGAAGACTATGCTTACATTAATTGTTCTCTTATTTTAGACTTCTTTTGTTACTTTGGATGAAGCTATTAAGATAACCAACAGACGTGTGAATGCCATTGAACATGGTGAGTATAGGCTGCTGCGGAGGCGCTTTGCCCATTCCTTATCCACACCACCACACTTCTTACCAACCTCTAGGAATCAGGCGCTGTACAAAGCATTGAAGATTCAAAGGTGAATAAGACAGTGCCCCTGCCCACAGTGTGAAGAGAGAAGTGTGTTAGTACAATAAAGTGTCAAGGGCTTTGATAGAAGTGTGTGTATGGTTGGGGGGAGTTACAGAGGAGAGTGGTGAGTTAAAAATGGAATGTTTTATTAGTTTCTGTTTATTCATGCAGTTAGTAAAGGATGCAACTGTATTTCAAAGAGATCCCCAACCCCCATGTTTCCTTTAGTTCTTTGCAATGGTTGAGTGATACATCTTTTTAATGTATTATTTAACTTTAAATTTCTCTCGTTTAGGCCTTATGTCCTACACATGTTCTGTTTTTGATTTCTAAAAATAAATTTTTCTGTTTTGATTAATTTATTTTCCATCTCTTTTATTAGTCTGAAAAGATGATTTAGTGTTGAAAATACTTTTTACTCAATTTTCATTAAGAAACATGTCAGTTTTAAGGTAAGAAAGAAGCAAAATCTGAACAGTAAAGAAGTTAGTTTACTTAAGGCTCTATTAATGTTACAGAGGAAGATGTCTCATATTTTAAAAATGGAAAACTCATTTCTTGCCTGCTTACCAGTACCTTGTACATGGAACTGCAAGCAAAGCAAAATGAGTAACAGTGCTCACCCTAAAGGAGTTCACATTCTAGAAGCAGAATAGGCAAATTCTATATAAAGTAGAACCTAATGACTGACATAAAATTCAACATATTCCAGTCCCTCTGCTTGTCTTTTTAACAGTGAATTACTCTAGTATTTAAAGTAACGTGTGGTTCGATGTTATATATAGTTAGTATATTCAGTGCGTTGTATATATTTTGGTCCAGTATGTTATGATAGATAGAAAGGACACCAGAAGGGCATATACCAAATATTTACAATGGTTACCTTTGAGTAGTTGGATTACATTTCATTTTTGGTTTTTCTGTGTGTTTGTTTTTCAAGTTTTTTGTATTAATATGCATTAATTTTACAATTAAAAAATAACATTATACAAGTGAGCACTGGAATTTGAAAAAAAGGGGATTTGAAGTTCTCATGTATATATGAATTTATTTTTTTAATTTTAGTCATCATTCCCCGGATTGAACGAACCCTTGCTTACATCATCACAGAGCTGGATGAGAGAGAGCGAGAAGAGTTCTATAGGTTTGTTGGAACTGGCAGTCACTGATTGCCTTTTTTCCACGTTGCAGAGGCTTGATTTGCTGGGAGTCTAGTGAACTTACGTTCTTTAGTATTGTATTTAGTCAAATGAGTAAGTAGTAAGAAATAATATTGCCAAAGGCTATGGAGACAAATTTATGTCAAGTTTTGCACATACCTAAAACATGGCATATCTAAAAACTTTTAATAGGCTTGATTATTCTTTAAAATAAAACAATTTAGATTAGATGTCTCCTACATACAAAAGAGGGAAGAAACTGTAATGAATTAGTCAATCGATAAATATGTACTGCATGTTGAGTATGTTCCAGAAGAGAGAAAGTATAAAGTACTTGGGGGCATTACATAATTGTATAAATCATGGTCTCTACCGTTAGACAATTAGCATAGTACTTGAGGAGAACTAATGCATGTGTAGGAATTAGTTGTGAACATTTAGAGCCAGTAGAGGTAAATAAATACTAAGTAGGTGGTACAGGGATCAGTGTGCTGGGTTCAGAAAAGTGGGATAGGTGAAGGCAGGAGGAATCTGGGAAGTGGGAAGCCATGGCAATTGTAGACCTTGAGGAGTATTAACAGTGTATTCATAATCTTACATATCAAAGGTATTTAGCTTCTGCCTCTAAGTGATTTTCAGAGTTGTATTAGAGATAATTCAAATTCAGTGATCCAACATTTTAATAAATGTCTGAATGCTCAAAATCTGTTCCATTAGAGAATGGATTTCAAAATTTATTTAACCTGGAATATGAGCTTTTGAAGTCAGTTATTAGTTTAAAATCTATGAGTATGTATTCTACTTATTTTTAAAATATGAGTTATAAATAAATTACTGAAGTTAAAATTAATACAGGTAAATTTTTGTTCTAGTTTGTGGGTGTTTATTTTCCTTGTTACAAAACTAGAAGAAAACAAATCTGCTTAGTACTGAAAGAAATCCTATGGCACATAGCATTCAGAAAATCTCCCCCTTTAATACAGGTTAAAGAAAATACAGGAGAAGAAAAAGATTCTCAAGGAAAAATCCGAGAAGGACTTGCAGCAGCGAAGAGCAGCCGGAGAGGTGATAGAGCCTGCTAATCTTCTTGCTGAAGAGAAGGATGAGGATCTTCTGTTTGAATAATCTTTCCCACTCTGGTCCTTTCAGAAGCCCTAACACTGGCTCCATTTTAATTCACGGTGTGTAGGTTTGGTATGTTTGGCTATTTATTTTTTTGGCTCAAGAATCTTACTGGTTGTAAAATTTCCCTGGACGGGAATTTTAAGAGATTACTTCTGCAGGATCACAATTCAGCAGTGATATCACAGATTTGTAGAACCTGCCGAGGAACTTGTAGGATTTACCACATGGAAGTGTCAGCTGTTCCATTTACATCTGTGTTACAGGTGATCTGCTTACCAAGCATATTAGGAAATACTGCCATTGGAAACATCCGTGGTCATAGGCCAACACATGTAGGTCAACTACCACTACATACCCTTTGTTCCTACCTACTTGCAAACCTAGCACTGTTGTCTGAGATTGCTGCGGCCGTCCTTGTGTTACTGTGGCCCTTCTCTCCAAGTTTTATGAATACCTTCACTTATTTTTTCTTGCATGACAGATCTCTATTGTGTCTGTCATGGGAGCAGTTCTGCAAATTTAAATGTGACTGGTATAAGCAGAGTAAAGTGATTTAAAAATAAGTTGTTCCCTTTTTATTAATTGCTAAGAATAACAGTCTTGTTCTCATGCTCAGATGGGCACTTCATCTCTGCAAACGTGTAGGTGGTCATGGGTAGCCTCCCTCTTGTTTTCTTCCAGACACCAGTGTTTTACTAGTAGGCTTACTGTGTTGCATTTTGGGATACTAGTAAGTATGATTGCCAGTGAGTTAGGAGGGCTTTGTAATACCATTTCTTTCCTAATCTAAGAAAAATTCTAATTTCCATTTGGGAGAAATAATAAGGAAACTTCACTATTTTATAAGTAGTTTTAACAACTTGCTGTCTCTCATATATGAAGATTTGAGTGGACATAGCGGGTGACAGCAGTTCTTAGTGCTGTTTGATTTGGTGTGAGCCATCTATGACTACTCATTCTTGCAACCATTCTAGGCATTTCTGACATGACTGGGCCATGGGACAGTTTTTTAGTTAATGAAATTGTGATACTAGTCTTGTTAATATTGTATTTTAATTAATTGATAGCACAGCCTAAATTTAAAAAAAAAAAAATCACTGTCGATTCTGACTCATAGTGACCCTATAGGACAGAGTAGAACTGCCCCATAGGGTTTCCAAGGCTGTAATCTTTACAGAAGCAGACTGCCACATCT